CATTTAAACTCGCACAGCGTCGTTAAACAAGCAAACAAATAAATATAATTTGTCATAAGAAATATTTCCCACATAGCCAAATTATTATTTTCAATTTAAAATGAAAATGACATTAAGAGTCGTCTCAGATCTTGTGGTCAGGATTCCTGGCTACAGATCCAGAGGTTCCGGGTTCAATTCCTGGCGTTACAAGATTTTCTGAGAAGTAGTGGGTCTGGAACCGGGTCCACTCAGTCTCGTGAGAATAATTGAGGAGCTATTTCAAGCAAATAGCGGCTTCCGTCTAGAAAACCGAAATTAACGGCCGTGGGGATTCGTTGCGCTGACCATGCGACACCCTGTATCGGCAAAAAGTTGGGACTAACCTCGCCGACAAGAGGCGGTAGAGCGTTCGGTATAGTTCGCTTGCGGACTAAGACAACAGAGTTTCGATTTTCTTTGGGGGGGGGACATTTAATGATTTATCTTTATGCAATACCGTATAAAACCGACACGACTGCATCTGCCCTGGGCAGCAGAGGTTGCATTTCCAATCGGAGAAGAATTTTTATTTTCCGTTCTACCAAGTGCAGACCAGCTCTTTTGTCTCCTGTCCTATATTCAATCAGTTCCTTGAGCACCTTGCCCAGGGTTAAAGCGGCTGGATTGTAAAGCTCACCATTCGCTTCTATCCCGTGCTGAGGTTAACAGTGCGTGGTGCTGTACTTATATCCCCATACACACGTTTATACGTGGTGTTCAAGAACATATTTTGTTTTATCATATATAGCTTTGGTGCTGTGTACTGCGGGCCTAGTGCATGGCATTACTACAGTTCCAACCTCAAACACTGGAATTGTTTTGACGACGCTGAGAAGGGAACACGAATTTTAAAAATGTAACGTCCACAGTTGCATAACTTTCCTGCCGATTTTCATGAACCATGGTATATTTCTTTAAAAAATTATTATACCATCATACACCTGAAGCTGTAACTGTAACTAATCAACAATTTCCGCATTAGTACTTTAGCCGTGGGGTGCACAGAGACTTTCAACGGCCGAAAATGAGCAACATACACGTAGCAACGCTATTTGTAATTCTGTATCAATTTCAAGCAAACACCTGGTTGCACGAAATTCTGAAGACTGCTGTATCACTTCTTATGTATGAATAATTGGTTAAAATTGGCACAGCTTGCTTTAATTATTGTTCACACTACGCCTCTTTAGTAGTCTGAGGACTGAATTAATTACTGTTGTAAAAATTTAACAACAAAATCTTAGAGGATACGATAAGCTGCACACGTGGCTAGGGTGGAGGAAATGAGGAACACATGCAGAGTATGGATGAAATACGTCTTTAAAAGAATTGGAGGTGGACGGATAATAGGAATGTTAAAATTAATGTCTGTGAAAGAGGTTATGGGGCTGGGTTGTGGCTAAAACTTGCTTGGGATTATGTCCAGTGGCGGAATTTGGTATTAATAAATATGCAGTGGAACCTCGCTTAACGAGCACCTCTCGTAACGAGTAATTCGCATAACGAGCAAAACAAATTGTAGGAAAAAAACGACTCGCTTAACGAGAGACGTTTCGCATAACGAGTGACGAGAGGGGAAGTCCCGGATTGTGCGCTTGCTACATCAGTCTCTGTTTAGCACTCGTTCCGCTAGCACCTTAGTGTCGCTTGTGATCACACATTTTTCCAAGCTTGTGTTCAGACATTTTTTTTTGTGCAAAGTTTAATAGCCCTTGCAAAAATGTCCTCGATGAAAAAGCCGCAAAAAGACAGCCATAAGAGAATAAAAATAACCGTACAAATGAAAAGTAAAATCACTGAAAAGCGAGAACGAGGTGTGAGCCTGACTGATCTAGCGCGCACATACAATCGGTCTGCATCAACGATTTGGAGTTGCAGTGTGTTTCACAGCAAGAACTTGTGGAGGAGGTAACAGCAAAACAACAATCTTCTGGACAATAAGAGAAATGCTGAAATCATGGGAAACAGTTGCATCATACATTGAGAAGCATCACCCTAATAAGGCAGTGGCTATACGCGCTACAAATTTATTTAATGATAATGCTGTGTCGCATTTTCACCAAATTTTGAAGGGTCGGCAAAAACACATGTCTCTAGACAGCTTTCTAGTAAAAAAAGATTAGATATTTATCATAAATAATAAACTAATTATTTCGATTTTTTTTTCTGCAAATCGAATTCGCATTCCATGTTGGTTCATTCAGCATAGAAGAAAAGATGAAGATGATTCACGCTCCTTAACAATGTATATATAATTTTCTTTGAATAAACGTTATACTTATTTTTTTTTAGTATTTTTTTCGGCATGGAACGCATTATCGTAAGAGAGGTCCACTGTATACTATTGGACCGTGCTACCAAAGTGTTAGTCGTAACATTTCAACTGTAAACATGACAATTCATGTGAAATGACAATTACTCGTGTAGGGCTGAAACGCATATGCTCATAATACAAAGAATGTAGCGCTAAATGCTTTATGAGATAAATGTTGGTTACTTGGACAGTCGATGTTAAAATGAAACTTATGGAATAATGAAGATATGAATTGGGTTCCGTTCTTCAGAACTTTGCATTGAATTCCTACTCACTCCTGAGGACGGAAAATGTTTCAACATTTGAAACCGAAAATGCAGTATTTCACTTAAACTGTAATAGATCGGGAAAAACTGGAATTATTTCTTTTTTCTAATTTTCAAATTACGTTCAGAAAAGTGTACAGAATCAAAATATTAATCTATACTGTTTTAAAATTATATTTACAGTAAACTTATAAACATTATGAATTATTTTATTGTACTACCTTAGAAACTGAGCTTGGTGTGATAGTCGCGAAAACATTCCACGCGGGAGTCCTACTTCACACCTTCCTTCCTTCCTCTTCCGCGCTTCTGACACACAACACAGTCTCTTTCGGTCTCTGTGGTCTTGATTTCTTCTCATTTGGTACAATCTTGCTTATAGAATGCCTTTCCGTTAAATGGGGCACTGTGTTGTCTGAGGAATGTCGACCCGGCATTTTATGTTCTACACTAATAGCATACTTCACAAACAGTCTCCTTAACTAACTGAATTTTGAATGACAACTGATCAGTTCCTTTCCCGGTGTTATTCCTGTATATTATCATCGCATTCAGAATTGAGGTATTCAAGAGCCTACGAAACTGCTTCATACTGTATATCATTTATTCATTCGCTTTCTTTCAATCAAATAAGAATGAAGCAGCTGGTCCTTCAAATCGACCCCTATCATCGACTGGTTGTAATTCGGCACTGAAACAGGTTTGTCCACGAGCATAAACAATCCAAATACAATATAAATTTCTCCCTCCGTCACACGTTACCATGCCCTGTCAGGCAACCTGATTGATAATTCACGCCAGCGTAGAAACTGTTCCGCGTTTCTTTCGAGTTAAGATCACGTGCCAAGTTCAAATTGCATAAAATACATACCCGTCTGAGAGCAACATGAAATAATGATAAGCCGCAACATAGTCGGTTTTTCTTTCGATCAACATGCTGGGCCACAATCGATCACTAATTCGACTAGTATCAATCTAACATATTTAGTTCAAAAGGATTCCCCAGGGTGGAGATAGGCTCGTATAGTAATATAGCGCACCACATGGTGAGGTTGTGAACTTTTCCGAAGACTTCAATTGTAATACAAATTTCGCTGGAAGACGAAGGTGAGGCAATGCAATTTCCTCTTTTATTTCTTACCAAAATAGGGTTCCCATTCGTCCTGTTTTTCCTGGGACAGTCACATTTATTCATATAATATCCTACAGTCCCGAATTTATTTCAAATTTAAAATGTGTTTAAACGAAACTTATAATAAAGTCCGTGTAGTAAGCATTTGTTTGATAAAATTTAAAATGTGTTTAAACGAAACGTATAATAAAGTCCGTGTAGTAAGCATTTGTCTGATAAATTTCCTATCCAGAATGGTCTAAAACAAGGAGATGCTCTATCGCCACTCCTTTTCAACTTTGCTTTAGAATATGCCAGGAAGGTCCAGGGAAACCAGGTGGGACTGAAATTAAACGGGATACATCAGCTGTTGGTCAATACCGATGATGTGAATCTACTGGGCGATAACATAGATACCATAAAAAAAATACGAACTTCAATTGACGGAAGTAACGAGGTTGGTCTAGAAGTAAACACAAAAAACTAAGTATATGTTGTTCTCTCGTCACCAAAATTCAGGGCAAAATCATGACATAACGATATGAAAGTGTTTTGAAAATGTGACACAGTTCAGATTTTTGGGAACGATGATAACAAATCAAAACCAGATTCAAGAGGAAAGTAAGGGTAAAAAGTAAAGCTATCCCTGTAACAGGCCGTGAAGGCCCATAGGGTTGTGAGATGTTGAGGATCGCACATTATCTAGACAATCGGCTCAAAGATGGCGGTAAGGTTGTCAGCCTTACGCGCCGGGCGCACTTTACTCCCCAGGAAAATTATTTAATTAATTCCTGGTACTCATTTCTGTTAGAGGCTGAGTAAACCCCAGGGCCCCGTGCGGCTGGAAGGATCAGGTCAACTGAAAAAATCCAGAAAGCCTTAACCACTGGGAAGACCTCCTTTAAAGATTTATCTTGTTCAGAGATCTTTTCCCAAATATCAAAAGAAAAGTGTTTCTGGAACAGGTTCGCAAATCTGATAAATATCCAGGTGAATCTGGGAAGACTTTCGTGGCGTAAGACCAAAATTTAATTTTTGTATGAATTCTTTTAAGTGCTGTGTTCCTAATTTAATAATTTTGAGCGCATTTTTGTATGATTAAATTTCTCAGTGTTTAATATATAATGTGTTGTTGATTTGTTGCTTTTATTATTTTTTATCATGTCCTTATTTATCAAATATTCTGGTTTTAAAGATAAAAATGGAAATGTTCTGTTTGAAAAGAAAACATTGTGAGAACCCTATACAAAAGAATTACTNATAATGGCAGATGGTTTGCCTGTTACAGCAATCAATGTTCTGGGCATCACGCTATTTACAGTGGGTGGTGCTTCCGTGCTCTTCATATTGCTGATGTATGCAGACACGCTGTGGCACATCATGAAGAATGCGTCTCCCCTAGTCAAGACACATTCTGCTTTTGTGCTGAGTGTTTACCCAGTGAGTTACATGAATCACTTCACATATAAAACCTCTGTAATCTCAATGCAACAGTTTCCTTCATTACATAATACGTAGTACATGTCATGTTTACTCTGAGGAAAGCATATAGATTAAGAATGTCTGTGAACTAAATCCTGATAGGATACCTGGACCAACGAATTATGAAGCAACAAAAGAGAAATGTGAAGATTACACAGTTCTATGTAAGTTTTGAGGTTTTCACGGCGATGACAATGAAGAAAGTCGGCTTCTGGGTTTAGGCACCGTGTGTTCTTCGTTTTGGCTNATTATAAGTGTGATACATATAGCATGCACTGGAGGGAAAGTTTAACTTTACTTAGAGAACCTCACAGCAAACAAAGTGATCCCATAAACTTCCTTTTCTTTCAATTTGAGAAAAGTGAGCTAAAAATCACTTTGGTGTCTAAGGTGGACATGAAAAATGTACTTCAATCTGTTTTGAACATTCAAAACTTGCATTACAAAGAGTTATTCTAATACTCTCATTTCATTTGTGCTGAGGTCTCAAAAAATGTCTATTTCAATACGGAATTTCTGTATTTTTCCTTGTTGTCTTGATCTCCCTTGACATCAGCACTAGATGGAGGTGAGTGGTCAGTTTCACCTCCTGTCGGCATTACCCACAGGGAAAGAGCATCCAGTATGCATTTGTTATAGGATGCTAAGTGGACCCCAGACCCAGTCTAAATGCTGTGGAATGAATAAAAATCTCTTGCCTATGCTGGGAATCAACCCCAGCTGTCCTGGCTTTTGCCAGACGCTGTACTGATTGAGCTATTTTGGCTCCTCAATGTTAAATGAGCACAAATTGAAAAGCTTCTCATGGGGAACATAAGAAATGCATACAAAATACTGGTTACAGAACCTCAAGAAAAGAAGCTGCTAGGGAAACCTGAGCTCAGGTAGGAGGATAATGGTAAAACAAAGATTACTGCCATTTGGGTTGACACACCATGTAGTATGGCAGGTTGGTACCAATGTCTTGGAGGAACCTGTTGCCTCTATCTTTGAGTCAAACCTGAAGATTAAGGCAGCAGATTCCTCCTAAATATTGGTACATATCTACCAAGTTATTCAGTATTACATAATAGCTTTAACAATCACTGCCATGAAAACGTTAAACCTCAAATATTAAGAAATGGATTTTAGAGAAATATTGGGATCATTTGGACTGGACTGGACTGAAATGAACTGGTTGAGGGAGGTTTTGTGTGATATTGCTGAACCTTCAGATACTAAGAAATGGATTTTAGAGAAATATTTGGATCATTTGGACTGAACTGAACCGAACTGGTTGAGGGAGTTTTTTGTGTGATATTGCTGAACCTTCAGATTCATAGCAATAAGGAATTTGCTGATGTGAATTAATTTCATATGCTCATGAAAGAACCTAATCAAAGAATGAGGTAGTTTCATTTATCAGGGAACACAAACAGAGATCTTAATTCAAGATTAACAAGCACTTGTATAACACTATAAGCTTGGCTCTTTTAACACCTGCTTCCACCCTATATATTGAAGGTGAAATTGAAATTGTGTGTATTGTATAGGTGGTTGCCGTGGCTACATACTGTGCAATTGTCGTTCCCAGAGCACAGCTACTGGCTGAGGCTGTGACTCAAGGGGTGTTTATGGCTGCATTGTACCAGATGTTCTGCCTGCTTGTTGCATACTGTGGTGGAGAAGCTGAACTCATTCGCAGGGTGAAACCCAACTCTCTCAACCCCAAGGTATCACCATGCTGTTGCTATCCCTGCTGCTGCCTCCCTTTCATGACTGTGGACAAGTAAGTTAATCATTTATGTGTATGGATTATGAAATATAAAAAGAAAGCTGCAGTGTCTATTAGGCAAATGGCTAAACTGAACAAACTGAGGCTGAAGTTCAGTGATAGCATTTTTTGATCAAGTGTGAGTTCCATAACTTGAAACATTTTACTAGAAATCTGGGAAGAGTAGAGTGAAATAATGGTCCATATATATGAGTATAATATAGCCAGACACCTGTTCATCTGTGTCACCCTTTCTTCTCCCCAAACTGCCCATAGTAGAAAAAGAAATGGTTAATATAAAAATATTCCTCTTGGGAAGGCAATTGTGGGAAAATGGTAGATTTTATGTCATGTATATAAACTGTTATGTTTCTTACAAACTGTGAATCACAAACACACACACAAAATGTAAATACAAAAATTTGCTCCTGCAAAACTATCTTTGGAAAAGTAATCAAAGTTTTTCATTTCAATGAAGAGGCACAGATGTCTCCCTCAGAAAAGAAACTGATAGGCTTACAACACACTTCCATGTATTTTGCAGGTTAACAGTAATTTTATATTTGTGCCAGTTAGGAATGTTCCATTCCATATTGAACAATGGACACGTGCAATCCTTCAAGAAGTCACTGCTAATGATCTATGGTGAGGGGAAACTAAGTTGACATTAGACTGTGGCATTATGTAGGCCTATTTCCCTATTTATTATGAGACAAGTTTCTAAAGGGTGTAACCATCTCACTAAGAGTTCTGGTTTTGCTATTTCCATTTATAACAGTCTGCTTTGGGACTTCAAGCCCCACACGTTGGTCGTCAGTTTCTTGTAATTGTCATTTCACCGTTGCTGCACCATGTTCTCTTTATACCCGTTTTCTTACCATTGTCTGTCCACTTACTTTAACTGTTGTCTCTGGCAGCTGGTGGTTACAGCTGGCTTTACCCTGCACATCACCATTTACACACCCCTGATCTTTAGGACACTGATTTGTAATTTGGGCGCCAGTAAACTGATACTATCAGTTTACAGATTCATGAAAGGGGTGAAGGATTCATGAGGGGTTGCTGTGGTGGGTAGCTAGTTCTGCGGTAGAAGTAAGATTCTGTTCTCAGGTCAATTGGCAGGGTCTCACTTAGAAAAGGGAGTGGGGAACTCCTGTTATAACACACACACACACACACACTTTGTTCCACAAGACACTTTATTCCTATTAGGGTGATGATGACTGCCTTGGAAACACTTGATTACAATTGCTTGTTACGATAGGTATCACACTGATTTTCATCTGAATATTGAACTGTGTTACTGGTTTTCAAATATAATTTCGATTTTATAAATTCCACTTAACTGGTACTTTAATTTTCCTCTTTAATCTCTCTTTAGGACACACAGCTTATACTTTGAACACTGTAAGTGTAGTAAGTCCACACATTTAACGTAATGAATTATAAATTTTGGAGGGATGCAGATTTTGCATCCATAGGGTTCTTGAGTTGGGAAACAACTGACTAATTTATTACAAATTTTGGAGTGATGTAGATTTGGTTCTTGAGTCATGAAACAACTGAATTAACAGAATGCCTTCTCCTCAAAACTTGGAGCCCTCTCAGTCCACAAGTCAACTCCCTAAATTACGAGGATTGATCACTTTTGAAAAATAGGAGCACCTTAATTAACTATTCCTGCAATCCGTTTAAGGATTACAGGGAGTTTAGGCTTTAAAGACTTAACGTATACATTATGTCCAAAGTTTGACAAATGCTAAGCTTGGTTTGGGTTTCAGGAAACTCCCATCTTTAAGTTATGATGTTCAAAACTGTCACATATCGTATTCTCAAAGGACTCAGAGAAGCAAAATTTTGTGTAACTTTCTAAGGGACCTAGCTGTAGGGGGCCTTCCTGTTTCACTTTGCATCTGCATTGACCAGTCGTTTTTCTTTTCTTTTGTTTTTTTTCATTTGAGAGTGGGGCTAAAACTCCTTGAGAGCAAGAAGTAGCCTATGTAACTGTTGTCCATTTGCTGCATGTACTAGTAGACCTAATCGAACATGTTAATTAATATGGATCAATACATGATACTAAATTAAATCAAGCTGAGGTTAGCAGATCAGTTACAAGGGTTCTAACAATGATGTATAACACACTGAATTACTGGGTTCTTGGACTTCGTCCATTGCCCTGTGGTCTTAAAAAGCCGCTAGAGAACACACTGTGCCAAAAACTTGATCTGTTTCCGTACCCAGGTGGGGGAGGGGAGACACTCCATTTGGTCTGTTGTAAGGACTTAATTTCAATCACTGGACAAATTGTGATTGAAGTTAGCTGCTGCTAATTGAACCAACAGAGCAGGTGTCTCCTCTCACATGAGAATATCGTTTTCTCTAGTGTTTTTATAACACTGGACGATGGACAAAATCAAAAAGCCCAGTAATTCTGAATTCTGTTGTTTGTTTGGTACTAGTGCCTGAAGACAGCTAGGCCAGTTGAGTGTGGGAATACTGTTTTTTAAGGAAGTTTAAGAAGTTTTCAATGTCACATAAGTGATGTGTGTGAGTCCAGGAACTTAGAGATGGTAAACGTAAGTAACCACTAAAAACAGCAGGATTAGTTTCTGAAATTTACAATACAGAATATTTTTACTTTGTTTTACTTTTACAAAGAAGAGTACTTTTCTCCATGTCATATCTTAGTACAGAGTATTACTTTGCTTGATAAAACAAGTCAGTAAAAGTGTGCATAGCATAACAATTCTTGTGTTTGCTCCATCTTGTTTAACCATCTCCAAAACTGTAAGATGTGTAGAAAAAAAATGTGGTTCATTTATCTCTACAACCTTTGAAACAGTTTTCCTCCAATAAATATTCAGTGAGTTACAGTAAAGAGTGGTTAAGAGGAGCATGAGAGTCTTCATGTAAAGCATCCATATGTTTATCAAATTGTATCCAAAATTGGAATTTGCTAACAAATCTTCGTAAAATTCCAAAATATAAAATTTTATGAAAATCTATTCAGCAGTCCTCCAGTTGCTTCATGCATACAAATGGACGGAAAGATTTTAATATTAATTTTGAATGGGTGCAAACATATCTACTTTGACGGTCTGAATAACTATGTTAATGGAAGATGAACCCAAGAGTTAGTTACTTAAAGGTAAAATTATTGCTGTGTTTGAAAGTATGCCATAATGTTGTATATGGAATGTGAATATAAAGATCCACACACTTTTAATTTCTGCAGTAAATGGAGATGATTATTCATTTTTAAACCTGGCCACTCTTACTCCAAGGGAAACAATAATGTAGTTTTTTCTTGGGGAAAGTAGTTTTACATTGGGTCTTCTTAGTTGAGATGATATTAGATTTATATGAACAAAACGAGATTAACTTGACAATATTTCGGTCTCTGAAATACCATCACAATCCTTTGAATAATTCTAGAAATCAAACAAGCAGACAGATGGAAGACCTCCCTTATGTGTATTTACTTCTGATTGGAGAGAAACCATAAAACCATACAAATTCAGGGAAACAGTTGGCCTCAGTAGAGAGAATAATGACAAGTTTTGATTTGTTTATGATCTTTTTTATTTAAAGTTGTCATTACCCCTTTCATACACAGTTCTATAAACAACTAATAAATGTATGAACTTGCATATGCATTATAGGAAGCATGTTCGGTACCTGCGATTATTGATTCTGCAGTTACCTATAGTCCAGGGGCTGGTATACATGGTCCTGCTTGTCATGTGGGCTGAAGAAGAGGTAAATGTTAAATTAGCATATAAATTCCAACATCACCATCAGAAAGTATAAATGTTTGGCTTGGCAAACTTAATAATTTAAAGGCATTCCATTTGACTGTGTGAAAAATGAAACATAGAAGGTACTCTGAAAATAATTATTTCCAATATTGAAAAGTGTTTCTCAGTCTGTGTCACATGATGATATATAGTAATGTAGGTGAGTTTCATTTTATAGCTAGAGATAACAATTGTTTATTTCAAAGGCTCCAATCATTTCTTGCCTATAAGACCACTCATAATAATAATAATAATAATAATAATAATAATAATAATAATAATAATAATAATAATATATGAAATCACGATTTTACTACATTAAGTGGTGCATGCCATAAACGGTGTAAATTCGTTTTTGGCAAAGCTAAGGATTGTAATGTCAACTGAAGCTTATATCTAGTACTTCTCCTTACACTGGCATTCCTGTCTATTACTAATAACAATGATGACTTTTGCATGACCCAATAAAGATAGAACGGAAAGCCTTAGGCTTATATACAGTGTGTTTACGTATGAATGTGTTTATCATTTTTTTTATACATACCAGTGAAATTGTTGAAAGTCACACAGGTGCAAATGAACTGTATTTTCCAAAATTGAGGCTAAAACAGATTGTAAGACCACTGGAAAACATATGTTAGAGAGAGAAAAAGCTATGATGTCTGTTTTTCTTTTTTGTAATGTGCATTACAGATGACAGAGTATATCATATATTAAGAGGAATTTAGGAGTGAGTAAAAGTCAAAAGCATAAGAGATAAATCAATCATTAAGATTTAAAGTAGATATTCTTAAAATGTGCACTAATGTAGTAAATAAGATGAAACAGGAAAAGGGTTAAGGTAGCAACAGTTAATGTGTGATATTATTATATGGCTGTCAACACAATAATCTCCAATAAATAAACTGTGGGAATGTCCCACAGTACATAACAGACAACTCCTGCTGTGCACAGAAATCAGGCAATATTTATACATCACTTCCAGCCTGGCTCTCTGGACACCAATACAAGCGCTATCCAATCAGGGCTGACAATTGCAGCAATATTTATACATCACTTTCAGCCTGGCTCTCTAGACACCAACACAAGCGCTATCCAATTGGCACTCATAATCACAGCTTTATCGCCAACTGGTCCGCGCACCGCCTAGTGGCCTAAGTATAAAGTTGCAGGCCTCAGACATGCCAGCATCAGTCTTTCCCCAGTCACAGCCATCATAGCTATGCTGATGTCAAGAAATCGCTGCTGCTGTAACTTTCCAGTAACAGCACACACATCATAGGCAGTTGACTCTACCGGCGCACGCACCGCAGCACCACCGGCCAGCGAGAATCACCACTGCAGCAAGAGAAAAATCGGGCTGCTACAAGATGACACTGCTAGACAAAACGGCCCTTTTCAGGGCCTGCACTTGACATCATACTCACTGGACCGGACTAGCTGCCATGAAAGGAGTCTCCTCTGGTATTCTTCAGACAGCTACTGCTCATTTGTAATATGCGTTATAAACACAACGAACATTTGTTGTTATAGCTTCAAGTGGTTGTCTCAGCGAACATCGACATCCTACAAAACCATTATTATTGTACTAACATTTATTTATTATTCTGTATTTGCTCTATGTTTCAAGCCAGCTGGATCATCATCAGGTAGTTTTCATGATAATCTCTCATTGTTAGATTGTGTTCTAATATGGATCCATATTAGTAATTATATTGATATAGATAAATATAGTTACAAAATTTTTGTATGCTTCTCGTGGTTACTAAATTGATGTTGTAATATTTACAGGTTAAAGCAATAAATCATTGTTATCCATATCTCTATCAAAATGTTAAAATTAACTGTTAATTATTGATTAAAATACACTCGAATTATCTTTTTAGTAAAGTGAATTCCTGTGGTGACTAGAGGCTAGATAGGTGCTTTGTACCTTTGGAGCCGGCATTGTTGTTAGTCCATTACATATCTGAAAATAGATTAAAGGTGTACTAATAAAGTCTGGCTGTGAGTAATGTGTAATCATACAGTATGGTGTAGATGATTACATGTCATATGGGTGATCAGTTATATGCAAGTGGTGTTAAAATTTCTAATGTATTCTCTATATTCCTTTCTGTGGTGTCATGAATGGCTGTGGTGCTATTAATCTGCAATGAGAGTGGGTATTTTTAGCGTTTTCTGTGTATGTGTAGTCTTACTGTTATTTGCTCCAAATTTGGTTGCTTTACTTATGTATTTTAATGTGTGTTGTATATGTTGCATCTTGTGTTGAGAAATAACTTCTTTCTGCTGCTGGATATTCTGGTTGCTCCTGGGTATGATTGTGTCAGGACTCACTGATGTTTAATGTCATAGTGGGTATGGTAGGTATGTTGCTTGGGTCATGTGATGATCAAATGGGGAAGTGGTTATGTTTGATAGGAGGTGGGTGCAGGGGTGTGTTTGGGTGGACGGTTTTATTTAGATATGTGTTATTATGGTGGGTATGTTTTATCACTAGGTCAAATATAGAGGTTTGTATGTCAGTGAGGCTTTATTCATTTGTAGTTTTCATCTGCTTAGATTGTATATGTAAAGCACAAGGGTGTGAATTAAGTAACTGGCCTTTTGTTCAGTGTGCAGTATTTAAAATGTTTGGTTGACTGTACTATATCTGTGTGTACTGTGTTGAGTATGTCTCGGGTGTATTTTGAATTTTATCTGTTCCTATGGCTTGGAAATGTCCTTTATATCAGTCTTTAAATGTACATCATGTTTGCCCAATGTATTTTAATAGACATTTGTTACATTTTAGGTGGTAAATTGCATGTTGATTATACGTGTATATGCATGCTGTTTCCTCTTAGTATTAGGTGATTTTTGTTGTGTTGATGGTCATATAATAATACCACATAGTGAAACACATCAGAATGTATACATTAAAGATAGCAACAATTATGCAAAGAAACCAGTTAATCTGAAACCACTTAGCAACCAGGCTGACAAGCCCTTGAATGTTATGAGAAAAGTTAGGAGAGTACATTGCATGGGGGAACAGTTCCACTGTTGTTTCTCTACCACTGTCCATTGTTCTTTGTGTTTCATTTTTGATGGTATACATTGTACTTGAAAATGGAAGTAAAAGAGCACAGTAAAATTAACAAATATTTTTAAAATTTTAAGCAGAATTTTACAATATGAACTTGGAAGTACACTGTCATAACTTCATGCCTCCTTTGCAAATAAATAGTAAAAGAAAATAATTTATGATAAAGGAATTAATCTATTTAACAAGACTGATTAAAATAAGAGCACTAGCTTTTAATCTATCCTGGCCAAAATGCATGAAAATTCTGTCATACAAATCATTGATGGCATTAGTGTTTATATATGTTTGTGTCTATTTCACTCTGCTAGTGACATCTGTTCAAGATAGCATAGAGATTTCACTGAATTTTATCATTCATAGTCAGTTTTTACTGAGATTGAGTGTTTACATAGCATCTATAAAGTAAATTCATTAATTCTGGTATAAACTGATTTAAACTCAAGCCCAACCATGTCTTTTTCTACAGAGCCTGTATGAGGTGAACTACATGTATCTGCAGCCAGTTGTCATCTTGTCAATATTGTTCGGAGTTTGGGGTATGAGTATGACAATCAAGATGTTAAGTGAGGTTCTCAGAGATCATCAATTGCAGGCCAAGTTCATAGTGCTTCAGCTGGTGCTGCTGCTTGCCAAATTCCAAGCACTTACTGCTCGCATCATTGTCAGGTTTGATCTCATAGCTTGTGAGCCTCCCATCACTCCTGCTGTGTATGCTAACTGTAAGTTACATAAAATTATGTCTCAAGACTATCCATGTAACACTGTGTTGGGTTACTTGAATTTCTTGTCTATATAACAATTCTCCATCAATTTCATTTGTTATATGCTGAACTTGATCAGGGGCCTATTTATAGAAACATACCAGATAGGTTCTAAAAGTCTGTGACAATGGTATATTAATAAAATTATTGCGTTTCTTGACATTATCTATCATTCAGTTTTTATTTGACAAACACAGTGTTCTTGAGACTGGATTCTGTTTCCATCTTCAGGTGGAACCTATTCAAATGGGCCCAGTTGATACAGCTAGTCCCTGTCTGTGGACACAGACACCAACACAAGACAGAATATATAAACCAAGCACAGCATAAACCATCTTTGAGAGTTAAGGACAAACTTTAAAAACATTAGACAACTCAACACACATGAGGCCTAGCACCTATGTGTATGTGTGCTTTAAATAGAAACAGGACAAATGATAATGTCCAGAAACACAATCATAGTAATATACCAGATACTGCTTTCCCCATTTGCATCCCATCTTGAAACTTAGAAAAGCAAAGAAAAAAGTGTAGATTCTGAGGGTTTCTTCAAGGACTTGCTCAATAAAACAAGGCATCTGACTGGAAGCTGAGCTTTTAATTTTCAAATTTTTGGACAAATTGAACATCTCTGTCATCAATCCACTTACCTCAGAAGAGCAAAAAAGCATATATCACATCATAGGAGTCCTTCTACTAAAAATTCCCCAACCTTAAAATATAACACAATCAAAGCCTAGCATTAAGCTATTATAACCAAAGAACACAGATGATAGGGAGGAATCCTGGGGGTCCATGGAAATTTTGAAGAGCACACAAATTCATTTTGTGAGTTTCTGTCCTGAAATGACAGGACTGTATCAAGTAGTAGTGTACACAAAATAGGATTTAAGAATAAAGGACTATTGTACCAGCCAAAATTAAGCGTTTTCTTTTAAAGAGAGTGAGTGTGACATGACAAGCAGCAAGTTACCCTGATCCAAATTGTAGCTGCCAACTATATAGTAAGCTGGCATATTTTGTAACCAAGACCAGTCAAAACTGTTAAAATACTATTAAATGGAAGGATTACTGTGTAATGGAAATACATAGTGAGAATGCTAACCATTATGCTGTGATGTTCAGTGGAATGTCTGAATATCCAATTAATATCTGTGAGGTGCCAGTGCAGCATTTATATTATATCTGTCCCACTTACATACCACACGTATATAAAAAACTTGATTCATATTTTGTTTGTCTGTCAAAGAACTAAAGAAATAAATTTGCTCAGAACTTTCTGCAAGTGTACTGGGAAAATTTGGTCCTTTGGAAGAAAGCTATTGATTAGTGATGAGATTCTGGTTTCTACATATGATTAAAAAATAAAATGCCTGAAGTCTCCAATAGAAAAATACTGTGTCTTAAAGGTGAAAAAATATGTGAAAGTCAAAATCAAAAGACAAAACAATTCTGATCTGTTTTCCTCACATCAAAGGAATTACTGATTATAAATGTGTTCCTTCCAAACAAATTTCCAGCCAAGTGATCTGCTTCGAAGTTTTTGTAATTTCTAGAGCAGCACATTTATGAAAAAGGAGAAACCTTCATTTTGAAAAATGTATTTCATATCATGTGAATGTGCCTACCCATGCAGCTTTCAGTAATGCAGTTTCTGAACTACTGGTGACTGAATCTCCATGAAATTTGATTTGTTTGGCTGTGTGATCTCATCCTCTTCCAGAAAATAAAAGGATCATGACAAGAGTCTTACTTTTAACCACTTGAAAACGCCAGAAGGTCACAGGATCGAGTCCTGATGAGGTGGATTTTTTCAATTTACTTAATCCTTCCAGCCGCACTATGGCCCTGGAGTCGACTACGCCTCTAACAGAAAATGAGTAGCAGGAATCTTCCTGCGGGTAAAGGTGCTGCCAGCGCATAAGGCTGACAACCTCACCACCACCTGTGAGCTGATTGTTTAGGAAATGTGGGAGCCTCGACCTCCCACAACCCTATGGACCTCCACAGCCTCTTACAGGGATACATTTACTTTTTACTTTACTTTATCATGTAATGCTGTATACCGTATGTCCAAAAAGTATCCGACTTTATTTTTTCCACTGTAAGTAATGGCCAAAGGGGTGGGGAAACTGAGTGTAGTGGTAGAAGGGACTTTCATGCACATGCGCAATTTTTTTCTGACTCACAACACTGCTGGATGTGTCTGTGGCTGCCAGATAGCAAAGTGGTGTAACATGTGTTTGTCACATTCTCGTTTCGCTCAAGATGACAGAATGCTTGGAGCTGCGATACTGCATCAAGTTTTGTCAGAAACTTGGGGATACCCAAGCAGAAACAATTCGTAAAATTCAGCAGGCTTTTGGTGATGATGCAATGGGGGTCACTCAAATTAAAGAGTGGTTCAACCGCTTTAAACATGGCTGTATGTTGGCGGACAGTGAGCAGCGTTCCGGGAGACTGTCAATGAGCCAAAATGCTGATGTAATTGAAAAAGTGCAGACACTGATCATGGAGGACCATCGTTTGGCCATCCGTGAAGTTGCTGATGAGGTTGGGATCAGCAGAGGTTCCTCAAACACAATTTTAACTGAGGATTTGGGCATGCGAAGAGTGGCGGAAAAATTTGTGCCCAAGCTGCTTTCGCCAGAGCAGCAACAACTCCGCCTTGAGGTCGCGGAGGACATGCTGGAGTGCGCCAACAGGGATTCTGACTTCCTGAAGACTGTCACTGGTGACAAATTGTGGGTGTACGGATATGACCCGGAAACCAAGGTCCAGCCATCATAATGGAAGCATCCAACATCCCCGAGGCCCAAGAGAGCACAACAGGTTCGGAGCAATGTGAAGATGATACTGACTGTTTTTTTCGATTACCGGGGTGTTGTGCATCATGAGTATACACCACTAGGCCAGACTGTCAATAAGGAGTACTACCAAGAAGTCCTCTGCCATCTTCGTGATGTAGTTCAGTGCAAGAGACCGGAGCTGTGGGATGCACACAACTGGCAGCTGCATCATGACAACGCCCCAGCTCATTCATCACACCTGATCAGGGTTTCCTGACCAAGCATGGCATTCTGCAGGTTTGCCAGGCTTCCTACTCTCCTGACATGGCTCCTTGTGATTTCTGGCTGTTCCCAAGATTGAATACACTGCTAAAAGGCTGCCATTTTGACAGCCGCAAGGACATCATACAGAACGCAGCTGCACGCCATTCCAAAAGAAGCCTTCCACAATTGCTTCCAGTGATGGAAGGACCGCTGGGCTAAGTGTGTGGAGTCACAAGGGGCCTACTTTGAAGGCAATTAGGTATTGTAACCACCCAGACACAGAACTTTGTTTTCCCGGCCCAAGGTTCGATACTTTTTGGACAGAGTAGTATGCATAGTAAATGCAAACACAAGTATTAGAGGCAGTTTAAAATTTATTGCATTACAATATATATATATATAGATTCCTATGGCTGCGGTATTGCTGAAGCTGTTAGTCGCTGGCTTCCCACCATGGCGGCCTGAGTTTTCAACCCCGGGTCTGGTCAAGTGGCACTGGGGCAGGTTTTCTCCGAGTACTTATCTTCATTCCACCAATTGCTCCACAATCAGCCTCACCTATCATCTGGGGCTGATATAATAGGCCAGAAGTGGCCGCAGTACCAAGTGGACTCAGTCCCATCCCACCAAGTAATAAAAAAAAGTATATAGATTCCTATGTATTCTTAATGAGATGGATTATGAGATTCTACATGAATTACGGGCTTTTTGGATAAATACTTTATATTAAGAACTTGAAAAGAAGTGTGTTATTCCGGATGCCAGTGTGTTCAAATTGCATTGTCAATGTCTTGAATATAAATTTGTTAAATCTGGAATTTCAGAAAATAATTCCACTTAATTTGTAAATTATCGGTACAGAGGTTATTGAATTAATGGTTATCAGTACATGGACTACTTACTGTCTCACTGTCTGTAACTTGAGTTCAGTTCTTTGTTTACTGCTCACTCGCTGCACTTTCCTCTTCCCTCAATTTATCTGCAGTGCTCTGAAATGAGTGCCGACTGACTATTCACTCGCTAGCTTACTGACTGCACTCACTACTCACTCATCTGCTCTCCACAGCATTGAAATGAAACTGGGCTCTTGCAAAGATTTGGTAGTTACTTTTACAGATGTGTAACCCTTCCGGAAGTGTCTAGCAAGTTCTCAGGTAAACTTAGCCTTCAGCATCAGCTGAGCAGCTTCTTGTATAATCCATACATCATGAGAGACATACATTGCCATTATCACTATACACTCAACTGAGGCTTTTGTTACTAATTTTATTCTCCCACATACATTTGCTTTAGTCAAGACTTGCGTACTTATAACAAAAAACTTTTTAAATTCTACTTGAATTTATGAAATGTGCAATGACTTTAGACTAACATGCTATGTTTATGTTTCCAGTGATCTACAACTCAGCGATGCTAGGTGAGATGGTAATTCTTGGTATTCTTGCTCGTCTTCTCTACAAGAAAGACTTACCAGACATTGGACTTTCTGAAATTCTTCAGCCTCAAGAAATCTGCATAATTGCTGACAAGAATTACAACACAATAGAGAAGTTGTCCAAGGGTAGTTCATCCAAGGAACTGGAGCAGAACTGTTTAAAACAACTTCATGTAAACTGTGCAGATAATTCAAAGAAAGCTACTGGGTGACTAAATTACCCTGAAATGGAAGAAAGTGTAACTGTGATTATTTATGTCTAAGCTTTACACTTACGTTACAGCCTGGAAGAAATCCCAAAAAATAAAATCAATTTCAACCTGTAGATTTACAGAGGGAAGAAATCACTAGTCAGGGTAAACTGATGACTTGAAAGGAAAGTTCATGGGTTGCAAAAATTTGTAACAGTATTGTATAATGCTGTACTCTTCAATTTATTATACTGTATCCTGATGCCAGCAGACAAATTAATTTAAATGTCCTTTTAGATGGCGGTAACCAGTAAAAGGAAAATAAAGTTGTCCCTGTGCTTAAATGAGTAACATACCATGAATACTGAATTTACAGTTTCCCAATTACTTCTGCTGTAGTCACTGCCATTCACTCAATACGACTCAACTCGTAGCTGCTGGACTTCAACTCATACTGAATACTGGATACTAGTAACTCTATCTCTCTAGTAACTGGCTCTCACTGACAAATACTCATTATGTAGCTTCCACACTGACAACACAGAAAACAGTTACGTGATAGCTACCACTGTTGTGTAACATCATGTTTACCGATTGCTTAGCAACAGTTGCTGCACGGACTCGCCTATTGCATGATATCACAGCCTAGCAGAGAGGGGTGTTTACTGAGCATTGTGTAATTATTGGACATGACCCCTATTTCCTGTTGCACCATCCACGTTACACTGTTCCCTTCTAAAGGTTGTTCATCCTGAACAGCCTAACGGTACATCCACGTTCCTTTTCTTTCAAGGCTGTGCTTGCTGTGTCTTCTTTTTGTTCGACTACTCCTCTTGCAGTGACTATTCTCCAGCCATTACATCTGCTCCCTTCTTAAGATTGTTTGTCCTGAACAATTCCATGGTCCAGTGTTCGTCGATCCGTTGTATCACATTCACTCCTCACTTTCATTCTCTCCTCATTCACGCTGGGGAGGCCGGTGTTTCTACATTACTGGTTCCTACTCTGCTTGCAGTCTCTTTTTCCGTTTTGGAGGGGTTCGATCCCTCCACGAGGTCCAATCCTTGTCTTGTCATAGGCCGACAGAAGATCCAACTATTCACTTTCTGATCTTCACGCTGACAATCTCGTAGATGGTCTTCTTACGAGTTCTCCCTCCTAGGTACGATTGCAGTCCTGATCTACACCCTCCAATGGTGTTTTCGGTTGGCACCTTTATTCTCGTTTTGCCTTGCGGGCCTTTCCAGCATCTATTTTCCTCTGTTTGTCCTTTCCAGGTTTCTTGTTCAGCATAGACCCTGGTTGAATATTTCTTTACAAAATTTCCCTTGCGCCATGTCACACCTGCACGGCTAGTCATATTTCTGTCGGCAGCCAATTTGTGCCACAGTCCACACTTTCCTTGGGTCCAAGATTTCCTGAAGCTGTTCCTTTTGTGCCATTCCACTGTTGCATGGTGGGACACCTTCCTGCTGGTTTTCTTCTGCTGTGCCACTTCCACACAGTGGCTCGTCCCTCTGCGGGCGATGGCCAGTCTTCTTCGGCACCCATCCTTTCCCTGGGTCCGTTTCTTCATTTTTTGCTGGTTTCGGTCCCTACACCTTTTCTTCTTCGGTTCTCCAACTGGCATTACTTCAGTGTCTTCTATGAGGAATTCTTGTTATTGGGCCACCTCAGATTTCCTGTCCACTGAGGTCGGCTCTTTTTCTTCTAGACGTGCCTCTATCTCTTGGCAGGCCATTGTCTCTTTTTGGGTAATCGGCATCATTTCTTCTTCAGGTTCTCCAACCGGCACTACTGTGGTGTCTTCTATGGAGACCTCTCATTTTGCCACCTCAGGTTTCATGTCCACTGAGGTCGGCTCTTCTTCTTCTAGTTGCGCATCCATCTTTTCTTGGCAGGCCATTGTCTCTTCCTCTGTTTCAGGTTTAAATGTGGCTACCATCTCCTTGTGCCTGGCGTCCATCCTTTTTTGCATGGCTTCCGTCCTTGCTTGGATAGCTCTCGTTTCTGCTCAGATGGCTTCCGTTTCTGCGACCATCTTTTCTCACCAGGTTTTCTCGTCGGGGTCCATCTTTTCTCGCCGGGCTTTCCACCTGTCATCAGTCCTTTTCTGGGCAGCTTCTCTATCGGCCCTCTTCCACCATCTGCTGGGAGTCCATTTTCTTTTTGCAGGGTAACACTTTATGTACTTGTAAATTCAACTGTTCGTCCTAAATTATGGCGTGTTTAAGTTCGTAGACACTTCTGACACCAAAGTGTCACGCGACAAATAACTTCATGCTGTTTTGGATCTATCGAATTTATTCCACACTCGCTCTTACACTTACACAATTTTCAATTTCCTAATTACTGCCATCCGCAGTCTCACAATTACTTCTCCCGCTGTAGTCACTGCCATTCACTCAATGCGACTCAACTCATAGCTGCTGGACTTCAACTCATACTGAATATTGGATACTAGTAACTCTCTCTCTGACAAATACTCCTCATTATGTAGCTTCTGCACTGACAACATAGGAAACAGTTATGAGATAGCTACCATTGTTGCGTAAAGTAGGGTTTACCAACTGCCTAGCAATAGTCACTGCATGGACTTGCCTGTTGCGTGACGTCACAGCCTAGGGGGGAAGGGTGTTTACCGAGTATTGTGTAATGATGGGAGGAGTGGGGATACGTGACATCACTCGTGGAAACACAGAGTTCACGTGACCCCTACTTCCTGTTGTGCCATCCACGTTACAATATGTTTGGTGGAATGGAGGTATAATTAATGTTTGTACTTATTTTGAAACAGTTATTATTTCACTGTAGGTGGCCACAAAAGATCTTAATGTCAGATTGTCTTTCTGTTCGTTACTATTTCACTGTATGCCACTGCTCTGTCCTTCTCTTCTTGCACTATATTAACATGCAATTCACAATACACACTGCTTCACATATCTTTCTTCTGCCATGGCAACACACATCTTCTCATTCAGCAACTTCTCTCTGACTCTGCTCTACTGGACTTTCACAACTTTATTGTACAGCTGCAGCCATTCTAAAAGTCTCTTGCAGGTTCTTGGTCACACTTGGTATTCAGCAGTTTTGACTGCAGTCTGCTGCCAACAACTGCTTCTCAAACACCTAACAGGTTGCTTCCAGGTCACGTCAAGTGACCTCTATGTTGCATTGTGTTGCTTCTACATCTTGTCATGTCACCTATAGCTCACAACAAAACTCCTTGCAAAGATTCTCAGTCTTTTGTTTAACCACTGCCATGACACCCTTCAACAGTTTGTCTAGTGTGTCCATTATTATTTCCCTGGATTCACTCTGACCAGTCATTATGGCACTTATTGCACTTGTTAGTTCTTCTTGGCCAGCCACCAATTGGTCTCGGCTGCCACTTAAGTTCTGGGTTCCTCTTGACAGGCCACCAGTATATCTTGGCTGGAGCTTAGATCATTTTTGAGTTAACATATTTACCTGCTTGAAGATTGCCTGTAATGCTGGATTCATCTTCAATCTGACTTTTGACGCCAGGTGTAATATTCATCATTCACTATTTTGGAACAATTATTGTCTCACTGTTAGTAGCCACTTATAATCTTGATGAGGCTCCTTGGTGGGGGGGTGTCCACTACTGATCAAATACTGATACCCTAATGACTAGCCCATATTCCAGTCATAACACTGACTAAAGTAACTGGTGTTTAGAATAAGCAGTACATTAGTTTAAATGTTTCTAGATATGAATACCAGGGAACAACAATAACAACAAAGGAAACCCCAGTTTCATTATGGAATTAAGAAAAGAATTTATTCAGAAAATATTATTAATTTAGATAACTGGTGATAATTTTATCTACTTCCTAAACACTAAATGGGATAAACATTTACCTGCAGTGTCAGAAAATAATATTAGAATTGGCCATAGGAAAATAAGGTGTGAGGATGTGAAATGTATTAAACTATTCATTGCAAGAGCATTCTGGTTCTATGAACATAGAATTCGTTAAATTCTTGTAACTGATGACAGATTTTTTTTCAGCAGCTATTTTAATGTGGGGCTTCTCACTGTGTTAGATGCAAGAAAATTTAACGTCTTAATTATGTACTTCTCAAGTTGGGATGAAAGTTGACAATTTAATGATGCTCATTACATTTTCAATCAGTGTTCATGTGAATAAATTGTTACTTAATGGTTTGTAAAAGTATTTTCAAACTCAACCTCTTTTCAGATACTAAAAGCCTAATTGACATGGGTTCATGAAGTTCATTAACATGTACTCTTGTAATTTTGCACAAATTAAGATTATGTTATATACCAGGCTCTTGTGTCTCTTATCAAACATTGTGATTAAAGCAGATATGACTGTCTTATTTAAATTAAGTATAAAACATTTACCAGTATTGTGAATGTTTAACGAGTTATTAAAACTACTTTGAACTTCAATTAGAATGATGAACCTGATCAATATTTGTATAATTTTTGGATTATATTTAGTTAATATCTGATTGAGTAAAATTTGGTTAATGAAGAGCATGATTTGAGTATATATTCAGACATACAGAGAGAATGGTTAGTTCATCCACTAAAGCTGCTGCATAAGAGCTGAATAACCAGGTTTTAATTCTTGGAGGAGGCAGGATTTTTCTGTTTACTCATATGTCCAGATTGACACTGCAGCCCAACTTCCCCAGGGCCAGCAATAAAATGATATTATCATGCTTCTAGTCCATCCATTCATTTAAAGCAATGGAGGCAAGGCCTGAATTGTGTCAAGGTACCTTCCCAGAACAAGGTCTAAGTCATGGGTGCTCCAGGATTTTCTCCAAGGGATGTCAGGCAAAAGTATTTCTATACAGACCTACATTTAAGGCCATTTTAAGACTTTTTCTGATCACTTCTGGGTATCCTAGATAAAGTAATAATTTTAAACTTTAGTATTAGTATTTGTTAAATTTCTTACTTTTGAAAATCTGATTTTTTAAAATGGTGAGATGATGATCAATCAACTACAGCAAAGCATCAAAACAAATATGAAAATGGAAAATAGAAATGATTCAAGCAGCAGGCAATAATTTGATGTTGGTAATTTCTAATACAGATGTTTCTATCTCACATATTCCTGGAGAACATGACGATAAAGTATATTTCAGAAGAAAAAAGCAATAATAAAAAAAAAGTCATAAGGAATTTCAAAAACACATCATAAAGGAAGTTGTTCAGTTTTTTTGACCTGTAATCATAGCTAAATGCCATCTGCTTTGTTCAGGAGCGCTTTTTGTAACTAGACCATTTACAGTACCTTACATTTTTATTAATATGGTACTCATATATTTCCTTCAATTCTGGTTTCTTTTTCATAAATCCAGTGCAGGGGGAAGCCTGGTCTTCCCCTCCTTAGTAATTACGGTCTAAGTGTTATGCATTTTATGTTACAATATTTAATGTACATCTGTTTTCCACAGGGACTGATGGGGTGCAATGGTATCTTTTTTTAATAACGGAAATGACGTTTATAATACATGGTGTGATCAAATAATTTCCAGACTGCATTCTTTCTCTGTAATAAGTATGTTAACCCTACATCCCATACTGTCCTCTCTAGAGTAGTTCCCATGTGACTCGATGGCAGTGAGTCCAGCAAGTGTGCCCCTGTTGGGTTTTCAGAAGTCAAGTGCTCTTGAACTTGGCAAGTGCAATCTGCTTGAATCATGATGTCATCAAATCTCTTATTCCTTAATCCCAACTTGATCTCGGTGAAAGCAAAAAGCCATATGGAAACTGTGAGACTATTTGAAGTTCTATCTGCAGGTCCTGACATACCATTGCATGACTGTGCCTTTCGTGTCAGCACGCAAAGCGTAAATTTTTTGGCAATCTGTTCCATATTCTCAGCTTGTATCAAAATGCTTTAGCATGAGTCAAATAGATCTCAACTTCATTAGCCAAGTAACAAATAGATATGTTTATTATCATTATCAAATTCTTTCATTTTCACCACATTTTTTTTTTATTTTGCCCATGGATGGACATCCTGAATACTCAGTATTGTTAACTGATACCACTGCACTTAGAACTGGAAAATCCAATCACATGCTTCAATTCTGCATATTATTGGTTTAAAAGCAAAATTAATGTCATGTAGGTTTCTACAGCAATTCTAATTTGAAGCAGAATTTGATTCACAAATCTACCACTTTCCAATAAAATGTAAAGTGCAGAAGGAACAGCATACAACTTCATTTTACAAGGTCTTATTTCTGAGTGATACAATCAACAATTTTTAAATGAATCATAAAAAACTCAGCAGATCTGTACCTACCTCCACCTACCAGAGAAGTTGCAGCCAGTCCAGCAACTAAGTGATCATGCCATTTGTTGTTTAAAAGTGTATTCATTGAGTGACAAATACATCTACTTAAATCCCAACTATATAAATTCCATACACATTAAGTTTTTTTTTTAATTCAAACAATAAATGTAATCAAAAGATAATTTATTAAATCGTATACATGTTTCAATTCTTTATAGTTAAGTGATGTCTTATATCTTTTACCTTCAAGCCATGCTGAAGTTGTGGGGAAAGAGCTGTACCACACGTAACATGTCATTCTATCAGATCTTAAATGTTATTAATAAATATCAACACATTTATTTAATCATGCATTTGTATTTATGACTCAGCATGTGGGTTAACTTGTTGCAGCATCTCATCCAGTAATTGCATTACTTCAGTCATACACCCTTAGTCTGACTGGTTTCCCAGCCATTTGGTTGTTTCTGCTAAATTGAAAACACAGTGTCCATATCCTGGTTCATTTGTCTCATTTAAGTAAAGTGGTGAGACCAAATGGTAGATCTGGCCATGTATAGGGAAAGAGTATGGGACACTGGCTGGAGGAGATTTAATCTCTGCACCTTACTTAAGCACAGGGACAACTTTACCTTTATCCACAGATGCAAACTCCATTGCAAAGATGCACTCTCGTGTAAGTTCTCTGCAGTTACGTGCTTTGCATATATGCCCTGTAAACAGTTCTTGTAATACAGCTATCAGGTTGCACTTCCGTCAGCATTTTATATATATAGTATAACTGGGCTTTGTCTTTTCTTCAGCACAGACTGTATATATGAATTAAACAGTATCTTTTTTTTTTTTTTTTTTTTTTTTTTTAGTGGGGTAGGACTAAGTCCCTTGTACTGTGGCCACTTCTAACCTATTGTACCAGCCCCAGATGACACGTGAGGGTGATNGAGCAATATTTAAAGTCAGTTCTTACTTAATAGAAAATACTCTGTCTCCATTACAAACACCAATCAGTTAGTGTTGTTTATGGAAACAAACACTTTATTTTAAGAATTATATGTGTAAACTGGCTGGGATGCTAAGCTGACCACTTGCCTCTATCTAATGCCAAGGTCAAGAATGGCAGAATTATATTATAATATAATATTATCAGTTGCAGTCTAGGAAATATCCGCAGCTATGTGACGGCTCAGTAATCAGATTTTGGCAGAAACAGACTGGTATGAAACAGGAACAACTGTAGAAGCAGGCGATTCCTTTCTGGTCAGTGCTTAAGTTACAGGCATGGGTAAGAGGAAGATACAAGGATACAATGAGGAATATACGTGAAGCCAGTATAGTAGCAGAGGAATTTCTTTACTTTACTTACTTACTATATAGTTTAAAACATTACAAAGATATTTAGGCCACAAAAAAAAAAAACACACATTTCCTACAACTGTTCACTTTTTAGCTTATAATGTAGGGCATAAATGGTGACCACCAATAACTGCAATTTCAGAGAGAGATTACCGTTCATCAGCCTAGTAATCCACGAGTAAAACAATTTCAGTGACCAGAGTAGCTCAGCTACTCAAAATATTCCCCAGATTTTATGGAATATTAAGTTCATTACCATGCTAACAACAGATTGCCAGTGGATCCTAGAGGCAGATGAATTCAGTTTACACTATCTCACTCATTTTCCAATGGGAAAATATATAAATATATAATAAATAAATCATGACTCTCAGGCTGGAAGTTGCAAAACCCTTGAATGAATGAGATTCTAAAGTCTGCTTCGCTTTCTCACATTCAAGATTTTGTACACTGCTACAGTAAATTGACATCATTCCAAATGTTTCATACTGCTGGATATTTACGATATAGTAATGGGGGTGGGGGGGGGTTCTCAAAATTTCTGGGTTTGAGCTACATCCCCATGAACCACAGCCTGCTACAAAATTACTTCTGAGAGAAGACAATCTGTCGATAAACCCTAATTAGTCTGCTGTATATAATGAAGCTTACTGGTTGCCATCTTGACTGAGGCATTAGCTCACAGATCAAGATGTACTTTTAGCAGAACTGACACTGCCATTGATGGTGGCATAATGGTCAATACCTTCAAACATAATGCCTGCATTCCACTAAAACAAATTCATACTTTCACCAGCTACTCTGTGTCTAAGGTGAAGGTGACGCATAGCTGCCTGCTAGGAACATTTGATTTTACAGGCACTGTTCCAGCATAAAGAGCCATTTCTGACATAAGAGTAAGCACTATGCCATGAAGACATATGGAGGACTGGAGGTACAGATCCACTTCCCTTGACTTCATCATTAGATGGAGGTGAGTGGTCAGCTACATGCCCCTTCCACTTTAACTCTGAGGAAAGAGCTCCAGTATTCATTGGATATGAGGCTGCGAGGCCCCCAGAATCAGTCTGGATACTGTGGAGAAGAGAAAGATCTTGCACCACCACAAATAGAACTCTGGCTGTCCAGCCTGCAGACCGTCACTACACCGACTAAGCCATCTTGACTCCTTGACATTAAAGTAACACTGAACTAAATCCTAATGACATCCAGAACATGCCTGTAAAGAATATATGCACTGGAAAATCACAACACAGAACGATACAGAATGTGTTATAAGAATGAGATAGGTAAGTTGCTCACAGATGCAGACTAACAGGAGGATGAAGATGACAAGCAGAGGTAGAGAATGGGTGAAAGTAAAGTACCAGGAGAAATAAGCATTTAATGTTAAAGAAAATGGATGAAGCAGACAGCAAACTCAGTGAGGACGAGGACCATGTATGGTTGACCTGAGAGAGAATATAAAAACATAAGATGTCTGGCGTGAGAAGTGGAAAACCAAGGCGACAAAAAGCTGCTAAGCTCTGAATGCCATGTATCACAACTACAGTAACCATCAGTCACTGAACTAACTCATAAACTCCATAGAGCTGAGTCCTTGAGAAGCCACCAGCTGCTCAGCTACTGAAGAATTTCCCCATATTTTATAAAACTTGAAGGTTCGTTACTATGTTCACAAGAACCCACCGCTGGTCCCCATCCTGAGCCAGATTAATCCAATCTGTACCACCCAATCCTATTTCTCTAAGGTTCATTTTAACACTATCCTTCCCCTTATATCTAGTTCCACCTAGTTGCCTCTTTCCTTCTAGCTTTACCATGTAAATCCTATGTCTTCAGTTTCCCTGCCATGCATTCTACATGCCATACCGAATCTCATCCTCCCTGACTTGATCATTATGTTGAATAAGGTGGAGAGTCCACTTTTGTAGTGTATTTCTTAGCCAGGAATTTGTGAACTCTTAATTCATCATACGCAATGCCATTGTCATGGTGGAGAATCCACTTGTCAGGCCAGAGTTCAGGTCTTTTCCTCCAAACAGATTCCCGTAACTTTGTCAGCGCTTCCAAATAACACTGCTGATTCACCATTTGTCCTTGTGAAATGAATTCATAGTGAACTATCCCTTTGTGACTGAAGAAACACACAAGCATGGTCTTGAACTGCATGCTTTCTTCAGCTGAGGTGAATTCTGTGTTTTCCACAGCATGCTCTGGTGTCTTGTTTCTGGTTCGTATTGAAAACACCATGTTTCATCACCGGTAATGACCCTATCAAACATCTCTGTATTGTGTAAAAAATCAGATGAAATGTGAAGCCGATGTTGTTTCTGGTCATCTGTCAAGATTCGAGGTACCATCTTTGAGGAAACTTTGCTCATTCCCAAATCCTCTGTAATAACTGGTCACACTGTTTCCCTATCAATATTCAATTCTTCTGTTATTAGTCTCACACCTAATTTTCAATCTGAGTGCACCAAGGTTTGTACTCTGTCCACATTTGCATCTGTCCTTTGCATTTTTGGCTGACCACTTCTTGGGTCATCTTGTATATCTTCTCGCCCTGTGCCATTCAAAAACACTTCATTTCTTCAAAGCATATTCACCATAAACCATTGTTAATAGGGCTAACATTTCACTAGCACTTTTACTGATCTGCACACAGAACTTGATCTTTATATGCTGCTCTAGAATCTTGTCACTCGTTTTTCTGCTAACAGTATACCACGGACACGTACTTCTTCCTCTGCTGCTTGGGAATGAACAACTCATTTGGTCTCTGGCTCCTGTATACGCAAGTTTGAATATGTCCAAACGTGCTTGGGTACATGCGTTTGCCTGATTCAACACCTCAGCGACACGCTGTGGCCATTCCAGGAATTAAATTGTCACACCTTGTAGTTTCATGGTTACCCTAAACTCAATGAGAATACTGTACAGCACTTTCTTCCTACCTGAATTAATCATAAGACTTGATTAAGGGCATAACATAGCTTATGTACAGTATAATTCTACTCCCATTTTTCTTCAGACTGTCTTAATGACAGTAAGATAAATTGTACCACTGCATGAGAAGCGTATTGCTTTACGGACTTCTTGACTGTAAGGAACCATGCCTATAGTAACTTCAACCTGTGGCAAACAAGAGGAGGTCAGTCATCTGTTGCTATCTGCTCAGAATATGTTCACAATTAGTCCTCAAACATTGTTAATTAGATATAAATTATTAAGAGTTTTGACGGAAGTTGATCTTTACGAGTATTTTGATATCTGTTAAAAATGAAAATTTTTAAAGAAAATGGGTAAAATTTTACTTCAGGGTATTTAATGCCTATAGATTTTGTCTTGATTTTCCTAATGAAGTCATGATTCCACAAAGACATTAATAAACACATTATTTATAGAAAGATGTGATTTTTATTTAGCCTTTATTTAAAACAGTACTATCATACACACCTGATGCAACAAAACCTGATGGTAGATATAAGTGTTTGTTTTCATGTTCTGTTTCAGTCATCAATAGTCAACTGTTTTTGAAGTGACACAAGTAGTTAAGTAAATCATGAGAGAAATATTACATAGCCAAAGCAGTATGTTCCAGCCAACAAACTGTGTTATGCTCAATTATTTAAGGGGTCTTTATATATTAAAAAATACAGTTTTCAGCCACAGCTAAAAAAACTAGAAATATTTATCCTTTAATGAATAACAAGTGTCCTTTTTCAATGAAAGAGCTATTTTGATTATTTTTGTTTACCCAAATTAACATTACAGTAATTTTCTCTTACAAAATTCTGATTCAGTAAATGCAAAGACTTCATTCAAGGCTTATTTCTGATGCCTCAGTTTTTAAACAAAAGAATATTACCTGAACCTGTCACTTCCTGAGTCAAACATGAATTTTCTGAAGTATAATGAATTCAGCGAACATGACTTTATATCCACCAAGGTTTGACTGATTTCAGCTTATTATTATACCATTCACTCCCTGTTCATCATTTATATCTATTACTGTCCTCTGCACTTCACATATCCTCAGTGTCAGAATCAGACTCATCCTCCATTGCTGCCTTGGCTGATTTTTCTGCCTCCTGGAACACTGACTGTGGCACACGCTCAAAGACTCCTTTTGTATCAGCTCCCACCCAGCTCAATTCCAACTCAAACTGTTTATCTTTCAGTTCATCATGAACCAGATAGATGCTGAAACAAAATACTGGATTTTCAATTTCTGCTTGAGAAGAGAACACATTTACTTTCATTCAGATAACTGAAACAATTTTGAGAGCCTCTGTGAAAAAAAAAAAAAGTCTGGGAGGGCATATTTTAAATTATGTATAATTTTGGTTAAACCAGCAGTAAAATATGGTAGTGAGACATACACATGGGATGACAGAGACAAAAGAAAATAAGCATAATAAATGAGAACTTCAAGACCATCACCTATACATATGCAGTTGGACAAAAATAAAATACTCTACTAAAATAGAAAATAAACTTCCAGCAGCTCATCCTGACAACAGTGCAGCCAATGGTGAATGTCCATAGCTGATGACATCCGAAAGGCCAAAGCATGTAGTAGATAACTTATTGTATAATGTATCTATCTATACAGAAGTTGTGCTGATGGAAGAAAATATTATTGGAAATACAACACAACATGATGCTATGATATGGTATTTACAGAATAAACTTATTCACAATAAGGCTGACAGCACAAAATTAAAGATAGCATAGAATTACAAACCTACAGGATTAATTTTTATTTAACATAATTCTGTGGTGTTTCTAAATGTGTCTCACATATTATTACAATTCATTACCATCAGCATTGATTCACTAATTCACAATATATGAAAGTTATATATATCATGTAAAATGAAAATCAGTACAGCAATAGTCAGTGTAATAAAATATATACCTACAGGCCAATGACTAAGAAGATGTTGGCCAGTAGAGGCATGAAACTGCTTTACTCATGAAGGCAGAAGGAAGAAATGAGTAATGAAACAATTTCAGTGTGTAAATACTGGTTCAACAGTTCATTATAGGACAGAATCACAACAGGCTGATAACATATACTGACAGAAGGCATAATGGAATGCTTAACCCATTCTTTAAAGTATTCAATTTATATAATATTGTACCTGTAATAACAGCAAACTTCCACATTCAATGTTACAAAAGAGGGGACGTTGGGAACAACGAAAATAATGGAAACAATTCATTTGCTTAAAAATTATAGTTCTGCATATTTTTTCAACATTATATCATATCTGAAAAATAAATAGGTAATCATTTTGTATAATAATGTGGCGTACAGACCTGTTGCTAAGCAATGACTCTGTAAACATTTGTTTCTAAGCAACACCTGCGAAGCAGACAATGGAACGACATCTGTTGCTTGGCAGCAGGTTCTTAATCAAGAATACATGGCGGCTGCTGCTGGGAAAAGGCTCAGTAAACATGTTCCCATGGCAATGGACACGAACACAACAGAAGAATGGTGTTTTTTATGTGGTCCATGCTAAGACATTATAAGCAGGGCAGTTAGTGAGGAATAAGTTCTGTCAGCCGTCACTTTGAGTTCTGCAAGGGAGGGTAAGAAGAAATGGCACTATAATTAAGATGACAGTTCAGTTATGGGATATTTGCCAGAAAGTAAAAACGTGAGAGCAGAAGCCGAAGAATCTCCATCATTAAGATCTACCAGGAAACAACTAGTGAAAAGAGACTGAGAAGACTTAGCATGTACTCCAGTGATTTGTGAAGTGTGTAGATCAGTGATAGCGCAGTAATTACTTGTACTTATAGAGTCGTGTGTATAAGTGGTCAATAAATCCATTCAGTCCATAACTTGTCTATAGTCACTAATATATGTGACAATATTATGTACTATTACATTTCACAATATGTTTCACATGCTCCACCCCTTACTTTTTGGGTTCTCTGCACTACCTATACAAATAATGGGGAAGCTGTAACTGTCCTGTCTTATCTGCTCAAACTACTTGGCAGATTTTGATGTAATATGGCAACAGTTACTTACATTCTAGCTGCTTCTTTCACTAGATCTTTACATGTCATGTCTGACAATTTCAGCTTTTCAATCTCTGTCTTTGCTGCCTGTTTGGCTTTCCCAACTGCACAACCATAATATCCCTGAACACAAAAGTAAATAAAACACTTGAAAACTGTAACACATAAATGGCATACAAGTACATGTGCAAGTAACTGAAAATGGGATCCATACAGCAATATTTCACAACCAGTGGTCCACATACTGAAAATAACGGTCCATGGTTTATTTTATTCAGTTTCAGTCTGAAAATATATGTATATAATTCTAAGATAATTATTAGGCTGTGCCATAGCTCAAGCAGTTAGTTGCTGGCTTCCCACCATGGCAGCCCGAGTTTGATCCCAGGTCTGGTCAAGTGGGATTTGTGGTGGACAAAGTGGTGCTGGGGCGGGATTTCTCCGAGTACTTCAGTTTCCCCTGCCAATCTTCATTCCACCAAATTCTCCATCATCATAATCACCAGGGGCAGGTACAATAGGCCAATCAGTGGCCTCCATGCCAAGTGGACCCTGCCGGACTCCAACCCCCACTAGCGAAAAATTAAGGTAATTACATGGTTGACATGTTTTGGCCAGAATTTCTGGCCATCATCAGGCAGTACTTATACGGGCCCTCTTAAACTTTTTCTGCTATTGCCCCTCCACTGGCCAATGTTTACAACTGAGTGAAGGTCATATTGTTGTTCACAATGCAGGTCTTTAGTTATATACTTAAACAACACTGTAAATTACATAAACTTTGTCTTAATTTCCCAAAGAGTATCTGTTATTCGCAGCACAAGCATATTTCAATTTTGCATCAGCTTTAAAATTGTTTTTATATGGTTACTTTGGCTGCAATTAAATTAAAATAGACATGATAACTTGGAACTACAAGTAGTTAAAATTAGACCAATACTGGTCAATTCTTATTCTTGTTGTTATTACAATTTTGTTATTTTTACTTTATTTTATTTAGATGTGTATTCCTGAGTCTTGTATAATGACTGTTTCCTTGATGAGCACAGTAGCACTAGGTTCTCTTAGGATACTCCTAGTTCTCTCAATACTATACAAGTATGCACCATGGACACATCAAGGTACAAACCACACAAAAAACGAAAATATGCATATGTGTGATGTACAAGTGAGAATGAAACTGAATGAAATATTTCACACACAATACGAAGCTAAAATACAATAGTCTATGGTTTAATTTATGCAGGTCCATATATTCTTGTTAGTATTTTTACCACAGATGTAAAAAATACTAGTGCCAAATGGTTTGATTATTATATTACCATCATATAAAAAGATAAAAGAGAATGTTGTGTGTGGGTTTGTCTGTTAAAACTCGTTAAGTCAAAAACCAAGGAACCCAGAAAGCTGCAACTTGGCATATGTATTTCAGGAAACCTAAAGCTGTGCACCCCAGGCATAGTATTTTTACTTTTACATCCCTTCTGTTTATGGGCTGCAATTAAAGTAATTTATATATAAAAGTGATACTTCTGTGCGGAATGCAAGGTACTGATGGCAATGAGTACATAATCAGGGGAACAAAATATGTATACACTGGATTATGGCAGGATGTGTTCTAATTTTTTAGGTAACTTACAAAATTATATATATATATATACACACACACACACACACACACATTCCAGAGCAGTGCAGGAATATAATTTAAAGTTTCAGTCTGAAGATTACAAAAATGATATATTGCAGTAGTTAAGACTAGAAATAAAAATATTATCAATACTTTTATAGAACCTGCAGCATTACAAAGACATCTTCTAAATGACTGAAGGCAAATACAAGTGGCTGTGTGTGTTTAGGGGCTGCAATTAAAAACATTTACATGTAAGAGATTATTTAATTTCCTATGCTGCACTCTGCTAGCAACAAGTATATAGAGTATGTGTACTATCCTCTGATGGTAGCAATGCAAACTATGAAAATCTCTGTAAGCTTAGGTCATCATGCCTGCAACCATTTTTAACTTGTATTCACTTGAAATTTAAACAGATGAAACTATATGAATACATTACAGATGTTTAAAAAAATAGTTAAATAAATTATTATATGGTTTCTTAGTATGGAACACTGAAGCAATGTTCATATGAGATCACTGTTTTAGTGTGCTGTGTTCAATTTCAAAACAGAGCCCACTAACTTAACCTGGGTAAGGCAGGTCCTTGCAGCTAGTAATAAATAAATGAGTCTGATGTCAGGACAACATCCTTTTATTTAAATTGCAAGTCTTTCATTACTTCTGGTTCTGCTGAAACATGTGATGGTGACTCTGGAAGATCTGAATTCCAAATGTTTTGTGTGTGTTATTATAATGCCCCTTTGATTTCAATTATGATTCTGTAAATGGATAGTTTAAGATATTTTACGATAATAAGAATTTTTATATTATAATTTTTTAATATACCATGTGAAACAGACAAGGTATCTATCAAGAAAGCAGTCTTCTGACATGTGGCGCCATGTAGATATTGTGTTACTGACGTTCCTCTAAAATGTCGGTTAACACAATATCTACACGGCACCACATCCCAAAAGACTGCTTTCTTCATAGTCACCGCCATGAAAACCTCAAATCTTACAAGGTATCTATCAGTCTTCCTGTTTCACTGACCCATGAATCTGAAACATTTGGCACTGCTACAACACAGCACACACATTCTGGTGCATTTGCTTCATTTTAGGGCACCTATTACATGGTGTCCTGTTTGATTGTTCAGTGAAAGTAATTTTGACCAGCACAATTTTAGCATTCTCTGGTTAAGAAACAAATTAGAGTTGGACAGCAGTATGAGTCACAAATACAATTCTGATTAAATCATCATTTTTATGGTCCACCTACTAACTAAAATAAAAGTGTTATAACTTACATAAGATACTCCTGAAGGGTCAATCATGTACATAACAGGTCCATCTGCCTCGTAGGCACCCAATATAACACTACAACCAAATGGACGTACAGCACTGTACAATGTATAAGCATGCATATACATGGACACGCGGTCATTCAAGAATCTCAGAGGAATGTTGGATCCATACTGTGCACGGTAATTCATGGCTTCTGTTCTAGCAGTCTCCACTATTTGTCTTGCATCTGAAATAAGTCCTGACACCGCCTGCAAACAGTAACAAAGCCTGGTTATTATATACAGATCACAAACCAAAAGTGACTTCTGTACTCTTCTACGGCATATTCCAGACACAAGGTCTGTGCAGCATCTCTTAACTTCCTGGAATATTCTTTCAAGTTGAGAAAGCACTTCTTTATTTTTTACAGTGTCATTTTAACCTGCTGCAGCACTTATTGCTTTCTGAAACACTGTTAACAAGTTCTTGTATATCTAAGAATGGAACATAAAATTTGCACCATGCAGTTCCAGTCATGCCAACTGAAGCATCAGCTGATGGAAAAATGAGGAGCGTAGCTGTTCAAAGAGAGTCATCAGCAAAAAATTATGCAGAATCATGATTATTGACATGAAATTAATTACACGTGATCAATATATACATACAAAGGTTAATTTAAACTCCTTGCTCCAAACACACAGTGAACTATGCTTTGTAGATATACATCTTCAACAAGAAATCAAAGCACATTAAATGTTATCACAAGTCACACATTTATAAATAGCACTGAACAGCAGAGGTATAACCAAAGGTACCACATCATAATGTGAAATTTCTGTGAAGAATGTATTTTAATACCACTGATTAAAGAGAAGACATTTACAATGTACACAACACACAACGCGTAAGACACATCCGACCAAAAGCATACACAACCTCAAGTTGACGATTCCCATCACCGGGACGAATCAACAAGAAGGAGCCAAATTTTATTTCAAATGTTTTAAGTTTTTAAATATTTTAACACTGACGGCTCAATTTCAGAGCATTCTTTGGATGGAATGCAAGAGGTGTACATGCATTCAACGTTACTAGAAAGTGTTGTGCTTTTACACTCCGACATCTCTAGCAGATCACGCAGCTTACATACTGTGTACAATACAACGCCAGTGGTTTCATGTGTTTGTAACGTGCCTCTGATGATGGTTCTTTTGAACCGAAACATGTAAGGCGAGTGAAATAAATAAGTGACCTAAGAACGTTGTTACACTCGACGGATTATTCATTGACAATTTGTCATTGACAATATTTTTATCATTTCCATTTCAGCTCCTGATTTTTAGGGGTCTACAGATATTTGTTGGTGTCTGCCCATGGCTAAATCCCTTTTAATAGATGAAGACCATGTAAACTCCATTACATTCCTAAAACTCCAGATTGACACATGATAAGGCACACATTTTGTTCACACTATCTAATATACTAACCATTCCGACATTTTTGTCAATATTGAATATTCTTTTATTAGCACCTGGTTCATACAGTTTTGAAGTTACTAATTTCTCCACTGCAAAAACGACTCCATCCTTCCCTCTGAGACCAATGACAGTCCTGCAAAATATTTAAACATAGATGTCCGTCAGCAGCAGGCAACAGACACGTAATGAGATAAAGGTATCACCCAACCTGAAAATACTTTAGTCCCTAATCTACATAATCTTAATACAGCAATCTGACACATTTCCATCATCTGTCCACATTAAACAGAAAGATGGGGCAGGATTTGAAGAGATTCTATTACGGTAAATTTGGTGCTAACTGCTGTCACAGTTGTTCAGTAATGAGCCTTTACTTTGATGTTATTCTGAGAAGTAATTCGCTGGATATGGGTGACACCTTATCTATGTTTTGTTCAGATTCTGTTACCCTTGCAATATTGTATTACATAATCAACTTAACCAAAGCTGTACAAGTAGCACACCTCAGCTAATGATAGAATATCATTTTCCACTCTGAGAGAAAAGAGTTAGGATAACAGAAACTGAACTGCATACAATTGTGGGCTTACCACTTTAGCTCTTCATGCACATAAATTGATTCTCTTACCCACTATTCTCCACAGCTTTATGTGCGTATTCCACCTGGAATACTCGACCGTCCGGTGAAAACTGTGATGCTGACAGATCGTACTAAAACAATATGATAATTTACATAAACTTTAAAACAGCTCTAACAACTCTTAATACATAACCTCAATGTCTCTCCATTATGAAGAGTCATCCTAATGGTATCACAAGACATAGAAAACGTTTTATTAATACTTACACCTGTACCAATGGAGCTCATTTTTATACTTTTCTCTCCTTTGTTTTACAATACGAAACTCTTGTTAATATAACGTAAATCGTTTCACAAATCACAATAATGAAATGCAGAATAACTTCCACATTTGTAGCAAAGACCGCAGGCACAGAGATTACAGGGTTGTCCAATTGTGTACAGTCATTACCTACTTTATTCTAAGCAACGATTATCGTTGGACTAGTAAATATAAATGTGCGAGTAACGAAGGTCATGTTGATAACTTGGGGAATATTCAAATGTGTTCAAAGTTCAATCTTGATAATAGTGGTCTGTCTTATGGGTTTTATATCAGAGGAATTAAAATACTGGATTGTACATAGAAGGATAAAGTCAAAATCAGGAATCTGTAGGAAAGGATCTGCATTCTCTACTTAACGAAATGTCGTTTATAAGCCACTTGGCACAAAGAACATGGACAAGCGTGAAGATGCCTTTCATTAAAACTAACCCTGGTGAGTTCTGTTTCCTTATTTCTTTACCTGTGATTTATTAAAAAAACTCAGTACCTCAGGCAGTAAAGCATGGATCAGGATATGCTATATAGCGTCGAATGGCAGCCGTAAAAATTAGAATATAGAAAACTAGTGCCGCTAGTAAAGACAACACCACGCGCTGCTAGAGTGTGCACACAAGCAAGGGGCATGTTACAGATAGAAGGCGTAGCAAAACAACGGGCTAACAAACAGAAAAACAAGCTGCAGAAACGAACCTTTTGGAATATCACATACCACCAAACAAGTGGACGACGCCCCTTATGAGGTGGAATAGGATTTTACGAAAAAATTAATAGAAATTTTAATTACTTATTTACGTTGTTTTAAGTGAACTTCAGCACGCGGTTTTAGCGCATAACAGAGCAGTGTAACAATTTGCACGCATTAAGACGCCTGAAAATGGCCATCTATGGCCGAAACATGTTGTGTTAAGTGTTGAATGAATGAATGTATGTTTGAGGGGTAGGCCTCCTTGGCCCTTGCACCGCAGCCTAAGGTGGTCTATTGTGCTTCCCCTTTTGTTTATCCCATCAGCAATCCTGCGCTTTGAAAGAAGCACAGGATTTTGTACATGGGGGCATCGAAATAGTCACGTGGTTCCATAAAGTATTGACCAGAGTGACATAATCTTAAATAAACTAAGGCCTCACATTCACACAGGATATGTGTGTGGCTGTTCCATTTTTTCTTGACATCTCTCACAAGTGGGACTGTCACTTAGTCCCAGTTTGAAGAGGCGTCCTTTAAGGAGACAGTGTCCTGTAAGTAGTCCCACCACCCATCATAGCTGGTTCCTGTTTAACTTCAACAGTTCCTTCGCTCTTTTAGCTAAGGGTCCTCGTATGATTCCCTTTGCTTGCCTGAGTCCAGTCAAGGATCCCCAGTATTTCTTGTGTTTCATGTTTCTCCAGTCCCTGATTGCCTGTCTGGCAACTCCTATAGAGATGCCACAAGCTGGTTCAGGTCCTTTGAATGGATGTTCAGCTCCAATCTTAGCTAATTGGTCTGCTGTTTCGTTTCCAGCAATACACTCATGCCCCGGCACCCATATCAGTTGTACCCTTTTATGTTTGGCCAGTTCCATGAGGGTTTGTTGGCAATCCCAGACCAATTTTGAGTTAATCTGGTGTTTGTCAAGCGTTTTAAGTGCAGCTTGGCTGTCAGATAGAATGTAGATGTTCCTATGTCTATAGTTCCTATCTAAATTCTCCATAATACATGCCTTAATGGCATATACTTCTGCCTGGAATACTGTCATGTACTGCCCAAGGCTGAAACTAAGTTTCCGCCTCATGCCATAGCAGTACACACCAGCTCCAGTGCCCATAATTATCTTGGAACCATCTGTATACCAGATCAGTCCCCCTTTTCTATGGGGCCGAAACCCGTCTTTCCATTCACTCCTGTCAATCTGACTGTGAAGGGTTTTTCATATACATGTCTCAGTATCATCTTGTCAGACCCCATTTGTAATATGGGTTCTTTTATCATGTCCTGAGTTATGTTTGCATGGCTGAAACCACCGGATCTAGGTTTCCATTGATTGCATTGCATTGGAGACGGTAGATTCCTGCCTTGGCCTCTGCCTCCAACTGTAGATGCAGTGGGGGAGTCCAAGGAGTGTCTCCAGTGCAGCTGTTGGAGATGTTTGAATTGCTCCTGTGATACCTAAGCAAGCCAACCTTTGTGATTTGCTCAGTTCTGCCTTGCTTGTCTTGAGTTTAATTCTGGGCCACCATACTGTGGCGCCATATGTAATTATTGGTCTTACAACCGCAGTGTATATGCAATGCACAACGTGTGGCTGCAGTCTCCAAGTTTTACCAAACATGGTTCTGCATGTCCAAAGAGCCTTGTAGGCTTTTTAATGACCTTGTCCAGCTGCTTTTTCCATGTCAGTCCCTTGTCTAATTCTAGACCAAGGTACTTGACATCGCTAGAGAGCTGGATCATCTTATTGAAGAGGGTCGGTTCCTTAAGGCCATTTATATTTCTCTTCCTAGTAAACGGTACAATTACCACCTTATTGGGATTGATGGAAAGACTTGTTCTTTCACACCACTGTTGGACCATGTACAGAGCTGTCTGAAGATGCTCTGATACCGTCGAAAGGAATTTTCTGTTTATGAGGATTGCTATGTCATCAGCATATCCTACTGTATAATACCCATCATCATTAAGTCCCCACAGGAGATTGTCAATGACCAGGCTCCACAGCAGAGGCGAAAGCACGCCCCCCCTGCGGACACCCCCTTGACGCGGATGCCCCCAGGGTCTCTCCTGATAGTGTGGCAGCTATGGTTCTGCTTTCCAGTATAGCACTGATCCACCTGCATATTGCAGGCTCTGTGCCATGTTTTCCAGCGGCCTGTTTGATTATATCAAATGAGGTTCTATCTAAAGCTCCCTCTATGTCATGGAATGCTCCTAAGGCAATATCCTTGTGTAACAAACACAGTCATCAAACGTACTACCACACTTACAACAAGCAAGTCTCAACAATGTATAATACAAGCACAGACCATTTATTAACTCTTAACATTTGAGCCCCCTGCATGCTCAACAAATTCGTCAATAGAGTAAAATGAATTCCTTTAAAAATAATCTCATAAAACAAACTTAAATTGATTTTTATCATTTTTTAAAACTGAAATATTTGATGGCAGAGTATTACGAGTATATTTGGACATTCTTAAAATGAAATTTTAAGAATTATATTGGATTTGAGGATTGTTGACTAAGAAGGTTATGATCTTCTGGGTTGTAATGCCATGTAGTTTGACAGGAGTCCACTGAAATAAATGTTGGTGGACTTCTACTGAACTATCAGATGTTAAAATCCAGAAGATCATAATCTATAAGCACTGCATTTAGAGTAAGAAGAAGTTAGACAATTTAATCTGTAATGATGATGATAATTATCTTGATTTAATGTTCAGGATCCTGACAGGTTATAATTTTATGTGACTGGCATATAAGCTAGTATCTTCCATGCTAATGTTGCAGATAAAAAACTCTTTACACCTGGCCCTTTGAGCTGCAGCCAGTCTGTTAAGGAGGCAATGCTTCGAGACTTGGGTTCAAGAGATGAGGAATTCTTAAATATAATCAAACTCATACGTCAGAAACTTGTGGATATTGGAGGTAAATATTAGTGGCTTGTTATGGTCCCTTTTGCATGAAAAAATTCTTTCAGTTAAATCTTTTGTCATATGCCCATGTCAGTGCCATGTTGGGCAGCATAATGACTAGGATCCTTTTTTGTTAAATAGAAATATATTTGCAACATGAATACCCATGAATGATAATGAAAATTTCCATATCAAGATATCGCCCATATGCGCTTTGAAAGTTAAACACACATTCCACCCCTTCTGCTGATAGAACATGTTGAAACCTAGAGAAAGCATAAAGGCTGTTTCCATGTTATGTAACAGGCAACAACACAATGAAATGTGCCTTATATGGAACCTGAATTAAATATAAACCTGCCTTTACTGTGATTTGTTATTGGTCAAGGAAAATATAGAATAAAAATCAATGTAAATTACATGTAATAAATTGAAACTGGGCATGGAAATCAAAATGAACAAAAGGATTTTGTGGAAAATAATCTTATTCAATATTTGTTTGTTTATTTTTATTTCTTTATATACCATTTTTGTTCTGTACTGTGTATCCTGGATTGTACCAGAGTGGGAACATTCCTATTACAAATGTGAAAGACTTAGGCCCAGTTTTGTCAGAAAATTACGTGCAGAGTACTTTAATATGCTGGTGGTAAAAGTAATAATGAAAGAAAGTAAGAGGAAAGAAGGAAATGAAAGACAGGAAATTGAAAATACAAGGTACTATCAGAAAGTTCCCAGACTAGGTGAGAAATTAAATTCTGGCTTAACTTACACAATTTTACTGCCATATCCTTCGAAATAACTTCCTTGGGAATGTATACAGCAATCACATAATATTTTCAACATTTCAAAAGCACCATGAAAGTGATTTTCATTAATGCCGTCGAGTACTGCTTGTAATTACCTTTGGATGTCAGACACTGTTTCAAAATGTTGTCCCTTCAGTTTCATTTTCAATTTGGGGAACAAACAAAATCGCAGGGGGCTAAGTCCAGCAAGTAGGGAGGATGGGGAACAGTGACCTTGTTGTTGTTAGTCACATACTCTATGGTTTTCAGGGATGTGTGGGCAGGCTCATTGTCATGATGAAGGAGCCAGTTGTGGCTGCGCCAAAGTTCTGGTCTTTTTCACCGCACACTTACTCTCAAGCGTCTTGAAACCTCACAGTAAAAGTCAGAGTTTTCCGTAGTGTTAGGAGGAATGAATTCACAGTGAACAATCCCCTTCACGTTGAAAAAAGCAAAGAGCATTCTCTTTGTTGAACTTTGGACCTGCCGCACCTTTTTTGCTCTTGGTGAGTGTGGGTTCTTCTACTGTGACAATTGTTGCTTTCTTTCTGTGTCGTAACCATAAGTCCAACTTTTGTCACCCATTATGATCCTGGAGATACAAATAAAAGTTTGGTCCTTGTTAGCCTTCTCTCATAGCTCAAGACACACGTTTATGTGCCACTGCTTTTGATCACTTGACAAGAGTTGGGGAATGAAATGTAAAAAGGTCTTGAAGACTGAAATTTGGTTTTTGGGTAGGATGTACCAACTCAAAGACACTATAACAAATATATCAAATGACAATATATATATTAAATACTAAATGTGAATACATTGTAAGTCCTTGGAGGTAATAGACCTCCGGCAATCAAGCAATCAAAATCGTACAGACCAGGAAAGTGAATCGACTGAACAGTTCAAGCTCCCACAACAGAATGGATCACTCGCGTTGGACCTCAGCCGTCCGGAACTAGGAAGTGTAACAGTGGAAGAGAGAAGGTAGTAAAAGGGGGAACGCCCTCTGATGTAATGCAGACATGGCGTTACAGGAACAAACTTTGTGACATTGCAGCACACGTTCAAATTTTCTGTTAATATCTCCTGGCAAACTGCACAACTGATCCCACTGGTGTCTGTGAGCTCATGGATTATTGGCCGATGGATGAGTGCTCAAATTTTTTCAACATTTTCTGTAGTTTTGCTGTTGCTTGGTTGCACTGAATGTTCATCATCTTCAACTGACACTCAACCAACATTGAAACATGAATGCCGTTCAAAAGCCACTCTCTAGCTTAAAGAATGTTCTCCAAAACCCTCATGAAGCATTTCAGGGGTTTTGGTAGCAGATTCACCAAGCTTCACATAAAACTTGATGCAGACACATTGCTCAATTTTGCTGTCCATTGCAGACAAAAGGAAATACAAAGTTGAAAAAGCGCTCATGTAAAACTAGTGCATGTTCACAACACGGTGTCACATGGCAGACTGATGCAATAGGCTTGCAGAAGTGTGACCTTGGCCTCCCCCCTCATCTTCTTTCACCAAGGCAGATACAGCACTAACAATGCAGGAACTCTCCAATTGCATCTCCTATGTACTACCGATCAACAGCCTGTATATACCATGAATTTGTAGTTTGAGTTTTGCATTAGAAATAATTGCATAAATACAGGAGGTATGTACTAAACATTAGTTTTTTGGCCATGTGTGAAATGACTTTTTGAGTTTGGGATAAGATTGAGACTAGAATTAGGAAACATTTAGAGAATCAAAATGAGAATGGGCCTCTTCTCCAGTAGACAATGATTTTTTGGCTGTAATTGCAGTATTTAACACAAGCCACTTTCTCAAAATGGACTAAGTGTACTACTTTATCTACCCAAACACAAGATGACTCCAGATGTACGATGACCCCACACTAAGAAATATGGTTGCACAGAAAGAAATAATTTTTTGTATTAATTTCATGCTGTTACATCAAGTAAACAAGTGAAAGATAATAAACATTTGAAAACGTGTTATACGCGATGTTTATTGAACTTGTTTCTCTCTTGAAGTCACTGGCCTGTATTCATGTTCTCTAGTGTGTCTGGCTTCAACATTCCTGTTATCTGTCTCAGCTTCACTGTCTACACAATTCTCATCTTCTTTCTCACATTCATTACTCACACTTTCATATTCACTATCAACATTCCAACTTTCTCCTTCATCCTTCCACCAAACACCATCCATCTTTCTACCCATTGCATTAGATATACAGTGCTTTTTTAAACCTCTTGACTGTCATTTGTGGAGAGAGAGATCCAATGCACAGCAGCTGTATACTGGGCTTCTTTATTTGCTTGGCTGAAGTTAGAGCCAGTACCTTTGTAAAAGCTATTCACAAGACAATTTGTTCATATATCCTGAAAAAGTTTATACACTACATCTAGAACTTGCAGTTGTGGGGTCATCCCTCCAGGAGTAACTACATGGTTGGTATTCCTTGCGTGAGTCACAGATCTGGCTTCCAGTATTATATAACCTTTATATGCATCCAGCACAACCGTTCCTCACATTTTCAAGAAATCCCCTGGTCTCTAGTTGTAGACAGTTCGTAAGCAGTCACTCCTCAGTTCCTTAGTCACACAAACTTGATCTACCATCTGATTATCAGTCTCACAGCCACAGGTGTGGCTTAGGTCTAATTTTGAATTCAGCATCACATATAATGATAATTTCATAATTTCTTGCAGTACTGTCAAGATTGCAGTCAGTGACTGTTTTTCATTGGGATATGTTCTTATGACAGCAAATTTTGTACCTACATCATGAGTGGTGTAATGGGGGGGGGGAGCATATAAAAAAACACTGGCATTTCGTTGGCATTTTGTATGTGGCTTAATAGCTAATTATTTGCTTTATGAATGTGAATCATGCTTAATTCTTTATTAAGTCCGTCATAACACAACAATACAGTGTTCAAGGCTAATTAGCTTTGCTACATGTTTCGGTTTTGTCACATGTTGTGATGGACTTAATAAAGAATTGTATATAATAACACAAGCCAGAAGGTCGCGGGTTCAAATCCTGATGAGGTCATTGGATATTTTAAATTGACCTCATCCTTCCAACCGCACTATGGCCCTGGGGCCGACTCAGCCTCTGACAGAAATGAGTACCAGGAATTAATTAAATAATTTTCTGGGGAGTAAAGTGCAGCCGACACGTAGGGCTGACAACCTTACCGCCGTCTTTGAGCCGATTGTCTTGGTAATGTGGGACCCTCAACGTCTCACAACCCTATGGGCCCTCATGGCCTGGTACAGGGGTAACTTTACTTACTTTTTTACTTATATAATAACACAACAGGATGCAAGAAAAGGTGAATCATGTTACTGAAAAATGAGTTTTTGCTTGAAATCTGGTTGTAATTTCTAGCCTAGTGAAGTTCTTTGCCATGAAGAAAACCTGTTACTACACATCATTCAAACATGCCACCTTACACTGGCCTCAGATTCCTTCCAGACTTTAATGATGTATAACTGCTTTGTTGCAGAAGTTCCTCCCGAAGAGTTCACTACTGTCCTGCTTCAGGGCTGTGGCACGTATGCAATAGAAGCTGTCTTCCAGACCAGCACTCCACGATGTGGGGGACGAGTAAGAAGTGTTCACCGCTGAAGATGGGGTTTAAAATGTTATCCAATGGAATCAGTAACTCATGTTTTTGGGTAACTAACATGTGTGTCAGAGTTGGTGCATGGCAAGCAGTGGTGGATATTCTAGGTGTGTGGGTCACAGCTGAAATAACTTAATGAGAGAGGAAAAATAATCATAATGCAGGTGGGCTCATTGCTAATACATCTCAGTTGTAGTGAGTCAAGTCATGACCAAGCTGTCCTGGCTGGGGCTCATTATGGATTTCTACAGTACCTCCAGACTAATGAGAGAACAGTACTTTGAAGTAAGACATGACAACTTCTTTGCTCACCCTTTCCAGTTTATTGTACACATACATAATCTCATCAATTCTTCATTAATCTATGTAGTTTATATTGTGTTGTTAAATAACAATGGAGACTGATCTGTTATTTGTACCAGGGATAACCAGTAGGTCTGACGATTGTTAATAGATTGTAGGATGTAATTGATAGGCATCACTAAAAAGGTATTCCAGATAATCAGAAGGACATAAACCTAGAGAATAAATGAAAATCTTTAGAAATGCATAAGAAAAATCCTAGCACTTCAGAATTTCAGCTGAAAAATTCTGTTCTTCACTGCTCAGGACTCCAGAAATAGAAGTGAAATCTACCAGTCACTTGATAAAATCCACTATATTATAGCCTTATGATATGTTCCATGCAAATGCAGTCTCTGTTAACTCCCCTGTGGTGACTGGGTGACCATATTCTTTGAACTCAGTTCATATGTCTTCCTGAGCTTTCATCCAGTAACTACTGTACCATTTTTTCTGTAATAAAATCTAAAATATAGACAGTATATCCATCTATCTGTCTGTCTCTGTGGTCTAGTGATCAAGAGTTCCTGGCTACAGATCCAGAGGTATGGGTTCGATTCCCAGCGCTACCAGATTTTTGAGGGGTCACGTGGTAGCGTAGTGGGTTGAGGGGCTATGCTACAAGCCGGAAGGTCGCGGGTTCAAGTCCTGATGAGGTCATTGGATTTTTTTTCAGTTGACCTAATCCTTCCAGCCGCACTAGGCCCTCAGGTTTACTCAGCCTCTAACAGAAATGAGTACCAGGAATTAATGAAATAATTTTCCTGGGTAGTAAAGCACGGCTGACGCGTAAGGCTGACAACCTTACCGCCATCTAAGAGCCGATTGTCTAGATAATGTGGGACCCTCAACATCTCACAACCTTACGGCCCTTCACGGCCTGATACAGGGATAGCTTTACTTTTACTTTACCAGATTTTTGAGAACTAGTGGGTCTGGAACGGGATGCACTCAGCCTCATGAGGATAATTGAGGAGCTATTTCAAGGAAATAGCAGCTCTGGTCTAGAAAACCGAAATGAACGGCCATGGGGATTTATTGCGCTGACCACGCAACACCCTCTGTCCGCTAAAGTTGGCACTAACTTCGCCGAAAAGTGGCGGTTGCTCGGTTGGTATAGTTTGCTTGCGGACTAAAACCACCAAGTAAATCCATCTATCAGTTTGGCCATGTGTCGACTGTTAACTTTGGAGTAGATGATCTGATTTTGTCGAGTTTCTGTAATGCAGGGAAAGGATATAAACATTGTGTGCTTACATATGTTTAGTATACTAAGAATCTTTCATGTGCAGTTGATATATTGTTTTTATATGACAATTGCTACATGATGTCATTATTATTGTAGAGGATGCTTTTATATGTATTTCTTTCAACCTACTATGAATGTTCTACTTTTATTCTCTTTAATCATTAGGTTCTCTAAACTTAAGCGGAATATATAGACATATCTCATTGTAATTTTGCACATGTAATGTAAATAAACTGTAATCATGAAGATTCCTGATTCTGGGATATACTGCTGTGTAGTCTGCTGAAAGTCAACTGACATTTCAGATGTACATGTCACCTCCATCTTCAGGGTTGAAGAATAAGCAAAGCAAGAAACCAGCATGAAGCAGGTAGCAAGCAAGCTTACGGTTGTGAATGCAGTAACTTATATATGTGACACCTGGGCTATATGACTACTGAAGGATATGATGGATATAGAAGCAGGTATAATTAACTCCACAGAGTAGAGTCCTTCCTAAGAAGCTAACCCAACAAAAAACACATTACCGTGACTTATATGGTGTAGGACAACCTCTGGCTTGAAGAACTGCTTGTAGTCTCCTTGGAATGGATAAATAGAGGTCCTGTATGATTTTCAAGGGAATCTTGTACCATTCTTCCTGCAAAATATTGGCTAGTTCTGTTAATGATGATGGAGGTGGATAACGCGCATGCAGATTGCTCTCCAAAACAGACCACAAAGGCTCAATAATATTGATATCTGGTGATTGTGGGGGGCCATGGCAGATGTGACACTTCATCTTCGTGCTCAGAAAACCAGTCCTGGACGATGTGAGCTGTGTGAACAAAGGCAGTGTCATCTTGGTAAATGGCATTACTATTGGGGAACAAAGTTTGCACCATGGGATGGACCTGGTTGCCTAAAGTGGTCATGCAGTCGTTGGCAGTGATCTGACCTTAAAGGGTAGTGATGGGTCCGACAGAATACCATGATATGGCTGCCCATACCATGATCGAACCCCCGCCATGTTTCACTCTTGGCAGCAAACAATCTGGATCATAAGCTTGGGATGGCATTCTCCAGATGTAAACTCAGCCAGCAGTCGGAAACAGTGTGAAGGTGGACTCATCCGACCAAATGACCGTCTTCCATTGCTCCATAGTCCAGGTTTTATGACTTCGGCACCACGCTGTCCTCTTAGTGGCCTTTTGATCACTGATGAGTGGCTTTGGAATTGCAGCTCGTCCATAAATACCCTTCTTGTGGAGTTCCCTTTGTACTGTTTTGGTGCTGACAGGGTTTTTTGAGCATGACGTTTAGTTCAGCAGTCACTTTTGCAGCTGTAGTCTTCTTATTTTTCATCACAGTCCTATGCAATGTTCGTCTGTCTTGATCACTCAACACACATTTCCGTCCACACTGGTGTTTATCAGATGTGGTTTTTCCAGTTCTGTATGCGGTCAGAATCTTGGATACTGTGCCTCGCGAAACACCAAAAACCTTGGCTAACTTGGTTACAGAAGCACCCACTATAGGCGCCCCAACAGTTTGCCCGCGTTCAAATTATGTTAGCTCTGATATGATGCACTAAAAACTGCGCTGAACACTGTCTCGATAACAAATGAAGCTTGCAACGTATCGTGGAGGTTGTACAGGTAGTGGTGTTGGGCAGATACGACAGCATCACCTACCAACGTCGCTAAAATAAACATTTCAATTCAGGCATGCATTTCACAAGGTGTTTCCATATTTTTGTCCATCCCCTGTATATATTATATGTCATGTAACAGTCGCATTCACAATGAGTGGCTCTTTCTAAGGGACCCAACAAAATATGTATCTCCCCCTTCACCTGAACACGGAAACAGATCAAGTTCCTGAAACGTTGTTTTTTCTAGTTTCTAGAATACTAAATAAACATTTCAATTCAGGCATGCATTTCACAAGGTGTTTCCATATTTTTGTCCATCCCCTGTATATATTATATGTCATGTAACAGTCGCATTCACAATGAGTGGCTCTTTCTAAGGGACCCAACAAAATATGTATCTCCCCCTTCACCTGAACACGGAAACAGATCAAGTTCCTGAAACGTTGTTTTTTCTAGTTTCTAGAATACTGAACAATGGACAAAGTCCAAAAACCTAGCAATTCTGAGTATTATGCATTGTCAGAACCCTTTAGAAATTACAATGAGCCATGTTTGGGAAAATTAATAAAAATGATTTCTTTTTATAAGATTTCACCTTGGAATGGTACACAATAAACAAGTAAAGGTGATTTGTTCCTTATATGAAATTAATTATCGGCCCATGAAGGCATATTGGGGTGTATAGTTATGGTTCCAAGAATTTTTGTCCTTGATAGAGATGGCGATGTATAGCCATATCTATACCTCTGCCAGGGAAGGATCTCATAGCCAATCTGGACATAATGGCAAAGGAAAGAGTACCTCTTCTATTCACCAATAAAAATATTTGTGGTTTTAGTCTGTAAGCATACTATACTGACAGAGCAACTGCCACTTGTCTTGGTAATAAATGTTTTGATTCAATAAAACCAAGGAATTTTTTGACCAGCTGAACTACCGTCAACTGAGCAAGTGCTGCTGTGCTACAAGGAGTAGGTCATCTATTTTATATATTTTGTAGACCTCATTCAGCCTGGAGGCCAACAGTTGGTAAACCCTGGTGTAAATCATACAAAACCTTGCAAATTTAGATTCACTATTCAAAATCTGATTCATGTCAAGAGTGTTTTCTTGCTCCATATCATGCTCTCATACCCTGGATACACCACTGTTAGCATGTGCATGAGTGGAACTGCTTTTTGGCGTGTTGTTGGTTAAAAATTTTAAAATTGTGTTTGTTAGTTTTGTCATGTCTATCCTTCCTTCTGTCAGCATATAACAGCTCAAGAACCAATTGCTGGATTATGAAGATGTTTTGCATTTGTGAGTTTTACAAAATCCGTCAGCACATTCCAGTGTTGGTTAAAATCAGACATCAAGAACAGACACTTTGTACAAAGACCTACAGTCATTTCTACATGTATCTGAAGTATAATTCTCTAAATATTTATAAGAGTGAAAAAAGTTGTGAAAGAAGCTGTCGAGAAAAATTAACTGCACGTTTTATTTCTAATATACGTGGGTAGGCTGAAAAGTAATGCACACATGCTTGTAGAGCGTGAACAAAAACAAATAGCAAGATCCGGCAAAAAGTACATTAAAGTACAATTCTTAAGTTTCAAAAGCATATATTTATTTTTCAACATAGTCACCGTTAAGGCTAACACATTTCTCTCAACGTGTAACAAGTTTTTTCATTCCGTCACTGAAAAGTTCTTCCGACTTTTCTCGAATCCAGGATTTGACAGCTGCCTTCACCTCATCATCCGAGGTGTAAT